TTGTGTCTTTAGTGGAGTTCCACTTTAAAGTCTGAGTTGTGGTATTTGAAATATAATCAAATAATTATTTTATTTTTTCTTCGCTTCCTCCTAAGCATATTTATATATGATAAACTGATAATAAAATGTTATATTTTTCATTTTGTAGTGTCTCGTTCGTTTAGGGTTTTTATTAGCTGTAGCTGTCACTGTCCTTGTCAATGTCCTGAGTGTCGTCAGCATCCGCAATTTGATAGTCCGTACAGTCCTGCTCCGTATCCTCTCGTCTACGATGATCCTCCGGTAGTAACAATATCTATATTCGTTGCGTTTATGTTCATTTTAAGCTCTAAGAACAAACTCACATAAAATTCGATGTTATTATATGTTAGACTATTGGAGGATTTTCAGACTATGGCTCTGGTAATAGCTCTCCAGACTTGGCTTTAGCTGCACTTCATTTACCAGATATCGAGTCAAGTAGTAGACACGATGACATGTATACAGTTGCACGTAATTTCCCAGATGTCGGGTCAAGTAGTAGATACGATGATTTCGAAAGTTGGCCCGTGGAGGTATGCGCAATGTTATGCATACTAATGTTTTATGATAGCTTGTAACATATATATGTATATATGTAGATCAATACTCATTACTTTTGTTATGTGGATGAGCAGGAATTGAATGAGATAACAGAATCGGTGGGACAGGTCAATAGAGGATTACCTCAATGGAAAATCTCCCGATTACCAACTCATACGTACGGAGAAATTACACCCACATGCGGGTGGTGGTGGGAAAAGAAAAAGAAGTTTGTCGCAGATGATACGCAGTACGTTATATTCTTCCATAGAAAATATACTGTTATTCGTTAAAGTATTATATCACATGTACAAGTTTTGGTTTAGACATGCTTTAAGTTTTCATTTAATTTAATTTGGGGTGACGTTATAGGTGTTCGATATGCCAAATGAACTATGAGAATGGAGATAAAATAACCACTTTGACACCTTGTAATCATATCTACCACAAAGACTGCATTTCAGAGTGGTTGAAGAGAAGCACGGTATGAGCATAAGTTCAGTCTAAATTTTAATTTTGAAGCACAAGATACTTATAAGCATATGCGACGACATAAATGAAAGTTACATTCAAAAGATTTTCACATCAAAAAATCTAAACCAGTAATACATTCTTATTTGTGCAGGTATGCTGTGTGTGCAAACGCGAAGTCCGTGTTTAAATAATTTTTTCTTTGTAACTTGGCCTTCATATAAATAAATAGTAATTTTTATTACTAGATAAAATTATAAAACTGGTGTGAATTTTTTTGTTTTCTTTTTGTTCCTTTAATCATGCTTTAAAAGAACAAACAAATATGAATATAAAAATATTATACATGACACACAACAATTGAAAAGACATCATAATAAAAAATTATTAAATCGAAGAGATAAAGGTAAATCTCTTTATCAACGTACAAAGCAAGATCTTCTAATTAAAAGCTAATCAATACTATATATAAAGTTGAGACTATAAATTATTGAATGTGACCTCATAGGATTCAAAACCATTAATTCTTAATGACAAATCACTCATCTGTCAACAAATATTTTAATCGTTTTAATTCCTAAATCATAATCTCACCTTTAGAATATTTCTCTATAAATAATGAAAATCTTAAAAATAATCTAAAGTAGCACCTAATGACATACACATTCAAACATCACTCGTTTATCATTAAAAATTATAGTCATCCTAAACTAAATCATAATCTCACTGCTGGAATATTTCTCTATAAATAATTCAAATCCCAAAAAATTCAATTTTAAAAGTTTATTTTAAAATAGCACATAATTACAAAAATAAATCAAAACATCACTCATCTATATTATTAAAAAAAAAATATTTGCATACTATTTGAAAACATAAATAACAGTATAAATGTGAATTGTTGGAAACATAATAGCAAAATAAGTAATTCATTTTATTTACATATTTAGCCATTACATTTACAATTAAGTACTTTTTGTATTTCTTTTTATTCACATATTTTGCCACAGTATTTAAAATAAATTTAAATTAATGAATTAGAATGATTGTTATTTCTTTGTAGTGAAAATAAAAATACAAACAAATATATATATATATAGTATATAGTATATAAAACAATTTTAAATATAATATTACATTATTTAGTTTAGTCAAATATAAAAATTTCATAGTTCAATTTTCAAGAAAAAAAATATCAAAAAATTAATAATTATTCACAGAAAAGTAATGCAAAATTAAACCTTTTAGTATGTTATTTCATTTTAAAATAAATTAAAAACAACAGGGTAATATATAAATAATACAATACATAAAATTTAATCTACTTATAAAGAATTTAATATAATAATAAGTACAAATAAAAAAATTATTATCAAACATCTATATTATAAAATAATATATTATACCCTATATCTAAATTTAAAAAGATAAAAAAATTACATGAGATTTTTTTCATAAAACCAACGATTTCTGAGTTTGCATTGAACACAAGTTAAATCAAACATCCGAAAATTTCTAATAAATTTTAATTACTAAATCCTAATCTCACCACTAGAATTTTTTTTATAGAAATAATGCAAATCCTCAAAATAGCACTTTTTAGAAATTTATTTAAAAACACCGGATGACATAAAAAATCAAAACATCACTCATTTATCTTAAAATTTTTAAACATTTTAATTCCAAAATCTTAATTTCACCATTAGAAGATTTCTCTATAAATAATGCAGACCCATAAGATAGTTCTTTTAAAGATTTATCTAATATTAGCACCTAATGATAAAAAAGCAAAACATTAATCATTTCTCAACAAAATTTCTAACTATTATAATTTCCAACTCATAATCTCATTTCTAAAATATGTTCTACAAATAATGCAAACCTCCAATACTAACTGTTTTAAAAATTATCTAAAAATAGCACCTATTGCCAAAACATTCAAAATATCACTCACTTATAAACAAAAATTCTAATCTTTCTAATTCCTAAATCTTAATCTCACGCTGGAATATTTTCTCTATAAATCATGCAAATTCGAAAAGAGCACTTTTAAAAATATTATCTAAAAATAGTACCAATCTATCAACGTTTGATTTTACGTCTATAACTGGTAATTTAATATATTTACCTAAATTTATATAGTATGGAAGTTATGTTTGTAACTTATAGAAATGCAAAATATCGATGGGCCTTGAATTTGGAGTTAATTACATTGAAACTTTTATAAATTAATATTGTTGAGACAACACCAAAACTATTTTTTAATTAATTTATAGAGATTAATAATTTATCGATATATTAATTGAATCAAGAATTCAATTTGAAACTGTTAAATTATATTATATTATAGAGATTTTTAATATATATTAATTTATAGAGTATTATTTAAAGAATTTATACTGTACTTTGATTGGTTTTGAGTTTGGTTGACACTTTATTTTAAAACGTCTCGTTTCTTGTTGGCTGAGAATATATAGTTGGAGAAAATAATTAAAATTTTCAAAAAAATATAATGGCAGTGGCATGTAATTAACTGGAAAAGGTAGAGCAGAATCTCACTGCTTTAATAATATAGATCCCAAAATAGCACTTGTAAAAAAATTATCTAAAAGTAGCACCTAATAACATAAAAATTCAAAACATCACTCACTTATCATCAAGATTTCTTTTAATTCTAAATCATAACCTTACCGTTATAACATTTCTTTATAAATAATGCAAATTCCCAAAATAACACTTTTAAAAAACTTATCTAAAATTAACACTTAATGACAGAAAATTCAAAACATCACTCATTTCTCATTAAAATTTATAATCATTCTAATTACTAAATTATAATCTCACAGCTAGAATATTTCTCTATAGATAATGCAAATCCCAAAATATCAAAAATGCGATATTGCTTCAACGATAACAAATTCAAAACATCACTCATTTATCATGCAGTATACTATAGAATTATGGTTTTTTAATCATGATATATATGATATATCATTAGAATTTTTCTCTATAAAAATGCAAATCCCAAAAATTCAAAACATCACTCATTTATCATTAAAAAGGATAGTGGCAAGTACACTCCATGATAAAAAAAAAAAAAAAAACTATAGATAAAAAATGCGAAAAGGATAGTGATATATCATTAGTATCTTGATCTTGAGAGCAAACGATTACTCTCACAAAAATAAATGCACGTATCACTAACCAAGCAGACGATTAATAGCAAACGGACAGAAATGTCCAAAACTGAAGCTCTAAGAAGTGATAACTCTGCCATTGTGACTAATTAGAAAAGTCAAAACCGGAAACCATTAAAATCCTTAGAATTATGCAGATGAGCAAAGACGCCCGCATCACAAAACAAGAGAACGTTCGACCATATCAAGAAAAACACTGAAGAGAAACCACAAACAGACAGAACAGAAGCTAGACTTCGCCCAACAATGAACCAGATGGATGTGAAAACAACAACGTGCATTTTAGATATGATATTATCTCAATTCCCTGATGACAGAGGTGTTCATCTTCGATACGAGTATCTCCAAAGCAAGGTATCTAGTTATTAAAAAAAAAAAAAAATTGGCGAGAGAACTAGAGTCGGGTTCTCGCTCGAGGACTTCTGAAAAAAACTCACCAGAATGTCACTACATGAAAGCTGAATTATTTAACTGCATTCTTAGTTAAACAAAATTAATTATGATAACAAAATTTTGTTAAATCATATAACATCGTCTAAGAAAATAAGCAAAAGACCATGTAACAAGAAGAAGAGATAAAAATGTATATATGTGTAATAAATGAACCAAAAAAATAATACGAAAAATTATAAGAGATATGACTAAAATACATAAAATTTTGAATTAGAAAAATTGGAAAACTCATTTATTTATATTTTACTCTTCTTGACTATTGATCTAAGAGGAATTATTGAATTACTAAAATAACAAAAACTAAGAGATTGAAAAGTATCAAACATTGGATAGATATAATGGAAGTTGTTTCTCAAAGAGACCAAGCCTATAGTCACCAAGCTTAGTCTTGTAGCCAGATGACTTGTATTGAGCCCAAGTAAGCTCTTTATAAAGATAATCATCTTGCTTTGGGACAAGGCATGACAATGGTGCAATCGTTTCGGTCAATGGAGGACCTGCGAAGTAGATCATCGATAATCTTGACCTCTTCGTATTTGTTAGCACTCTGTGTTTCACACTTTTGAATCTTCCGTTAGTCATCACCTGCGATTTTCAATATGTAACCGCCAAAAAACATTAGAAATGTGTAATAATTTCTTTGGAACAAAGATATAGTGTTGATTATTAGTGATGAGGAGAAAACAAAATGAAAAATAAATTCATTTCACATGTGAAAGTACGGTCTACTAGTTTAGATAGATTTTTTTTTTCCATACACATCTTATGTGAATCTAAGTCCAAGCCAGAATCTTGCAATATTTCATTCACTATATATGAATATTTTTATATACAAAAAAATGTCAACTAGAGAATCATAAAACAAATTATCCAGTCATAAATTTACACATGATCAATTTTAAGTTTATTTACTTTTTCAATTTTTTCCTTAAAACAACTTAGAAAAGAAAAAGATACTAAAATCCGTTTTCTTATTATTTGAAGTGCTACCCATCCATATACTTTTAGTTCAGATTTTTTCCTTAGCAGACTTTTCAAAACATTATATATTTGATTTGATAACATACATATACATATATAAAGATCAGTTTATATTTTCATACCAGAAAAGATCAGTTTATATATTAAAAGATTTGTAGATGACGTTGGACTTCTGAATTTTCATATGCAATATCCTCCAATAATTAAAACTTAAAAGAAACTAAAAAGAGAGGATATTTCACATCAAAAACTATTAAAGGTTGCAACAAAAATAATACCTGAAGAGTATCTCCGACAATAACGAAGAAAGAAGAGTGATCAGGTGGTACAGCGACCCAAGTCCCATCTTTCAAACAGATTTGTAAGCCCTCAGTGTCGTTTGATCTGAGCACTGATATTAGCTGTGGATCTGTGTGCTCACCGAACCCAATCTCTTCCTTGGCCGTAGACTCTTCCTTCTCCTTGTAATAGTTCATCCTAAGACAAGAATCACTCTCCTTCACCTTCACTAGTTTACTCAGCTTCCCCTTTGGCTCTATCCGTAGCTCTTGTTCTATCATCTCCAGAACCTTGCTCGACATTCTCTTCATCTCCTCCTTGTACTCTTCCACCGACTCTCTGTTTCAATTCATTTTATATTTTAGTATTAAAGAACATCAGAACAACCTTCTCTAGATATAGCCGATGTCACATTTTAGACAGATGCCAATTGTTTTTAAGAATTACTATACATATTGACTCTCATATAATATTAAAAATAGTTTAAAAATGTTTATGGCCCGGTCATGCAAGGAAGGCAGAAACATGCCGCTCTGTTTTGGGTTAATTAGTTTAAGTTTGTTTTACCTGAAAATGGCAGGGGTTTGCTGGAAAACCGCGGAAGTTTTGGTGGAAGACAGATGGATATTAGCATTGAGGAGAATATACTCAATGCATCCCACGTCGCCATTAGGTCCGATTCGTTTACTACCGTATCCAAACGGGTCGGCTGGACCCGCTTTATCTTTGAGGGACTGAGGCAAAGCAAAGAACTTGGTGGCTTCTTCATGCAAATGGGTCAAAAGATCGGGTCTGACACCATGGTTGACGACTTTGAAGAACCCTAACTCCTCGCAAGCCTTCACGATTTGGGTTTTGGCATCCGGGTCGGTTAAGTCTACAACAGGGATTAAAACCGGACTCGGTTTGCATTTTGGGACTGGCTGTAACATAACAACCATGGTTTGTTTCTTTTGAGTCTTTTATCTGAGGAATGAAAGATTGTTGAAGTGAAAGACTTTGAAGGAGAAGAAACTTGGTGAAAAAGTTGTTAGTTTATTAGCTTTGATTTATAGATGCTTTTGTGTACACCCGATGACTTTATTATATTGTATTCCTAAAATGTCGTTCTTGTTTCTATTATGCATTTTATATTCTTTTTGGTAGATTTTATTCTAAAATATAATACGTATCTTGATTACGCAGGCATATTCAATATAAAGTTATATCATTAGAAATTTTTTGAACTTATTTTATTTTTAAATAAATTTGAATGATTTTATGAAGACTAAATTTATCTAATTTGTGAAAAGTTTCCTTCTTCAGTGGTGTTAGTTTTGAAGAGCTCAAAATAATCACAAAATATTTCTTAAGAACGTCACCAATGAAGGTCATGTCCATGTTGTGGATTTGAAACCCTAAAAGAAATCGGCTCTTCAAAATGATTTTTTTCAACTAGGCCATTTTAAATAAAAAAATGATATTAGACTATCATTTAAAGACATATGATATTGTTTAAGCTTAAAAGATATATACTGTTCCAAATTTTCAACAAAGTTTATAAGTTTGTTTTCTCATATATAAAAAAGATAAAATGGAATACTTCAATTAGAATAATTTTTTTAAAATTCCTACCTAGTTGTTGCTTGTAAATATTCTTTTTTTTTTTGTAAAAAGGCATAAGCTTGTAAATATTCTTTCATGTAAAGTTTTCCTTAAAACGTTGCTGGGGGGGCATCTATTACGTAAATGTGATGTAAATTTCCTTAGAAAATGTAATGTAAATTTGCCACATGGAGGTGTAAGGCACGTCTAGTACAAGAGGCTCTCCAGCCTCCACACGTCTTTTTGTTTTAAAAAAAAAAGATATGTTTGCCGATGCAACAATCTACGTACTACTTACTATAAACTTCAATCTGTAGTTGCATGAAATGTCCTTTTCGTCGAAGTCGTTAGTTAGAGTTGAATGTAACCAAGTCAGAATTTGTAAATATAATTGTTTTTCTTTTTCTGGAACAACGAGTTTGTGAATATCCCATGTGTAACTTAATAAGAAGGAAAGGTTCAAGCAAAAAGAAACCATAAGAGGACTTGGATTCGATCAGGTCGACGATTTGTTTTTGAATATTTGCAGTGATCCCATATTGACATGTGTCGAACACTGAATATTCACTTCACGTGGCTGTGATTCTGTGCACAGCCTACTTCTTTGCGCGTACGATTGCGTGTTTTACTTGTCTTTATATACGGAGACACTATTTCTGTCGGTACTAGGGGAAGCATATATCACTCCTCAATATTTTTCGTAAACTTAATAGTAGTATGTTTGAGGCAAAAATTCATTTTTCAGCGGAGCGATACTTATTATACCTTCGAAACGCGTGCATATTATCTTCTAAATGTGTACGTAAAATTTGCAGAAAATGGCATGTTTCAGTTTTTATATCAATGGATAAACATGCATGATTGATCCCTAAAGATATTTTTAGTATTGGACATGTCTATGTCTATATACATAAACGGGTTTCGTCCAACTTTTCTAGGTGATGATTGAATACTGCGATCATCATTTTCAAGAATCTTTCACCGATTCAAGCCCAAACTTTGTGACGCATCTAGTAAGTAATATTTTATGCAAACTACAGTTCAGGGCCGGCCCTGAGATTTTGGGGGCCTGTGGCGATTTCTATGTAAAAAAAAATTTTGGGGGCCTAAAAAATTTTTTGGGGCCTATACTCATGTAATTTTCTACAAAATTTTTGGGGGCCTGAAACAAATGTTTCACTAGGCATTGCCCAGGGCCGGCCCTGCTACAGTTGCATACATATAACATCATATATAAAGTTAAAATAATCACCAGCAGTATTAAAATTTCAACAAGAGCCATCTGCACGTTGAAGTCGGCCTATGGATGCATGGTCGGTCCTGGACGATGAAACATTTGGCCTTAAACTCCTTAATATTTTGAAGAAAATTATATTAACGTAGATCTCCGATATTTTATTTTAATTTCGAAATTTAAAAAAAAAAGATTTAGTTAATTTTTGTAATAAATTATATATAACCCCCTAAATATTAAGACGGGCTCTGTCTCAGCTCGTTTTTGTATCGCATGTTTGCGTAGCGAAGGAGCTGCACCACCTCCTTGCATTTTCCTTCCTTCATCCTCTTCACCGCCTCCATCTATATTCCCCTCAATTTTTAAAATCTTTAATTTGTCTTCTTTAATTGATTGATCTTGTGGCTATAAATTAGAGTTATAGGCTTGTATCACTCGAATATTCATAAACAACTATTTGGTGTTTTCTTGGAAGTTTCCAGAAATTCTACTACTAGTGTTTTCTTGGAAGTTTCCAAAAATTCTACTACGGTAAATAGTATATTGATATTAGATTTAGGTTTTATTGGGAAAGCCAAAGCATATACATATATATTTTATTTTATTTTATTTTGCATAATGCTTATGCAAATTCGCTTTGATATTAAGAAAGATAGATTTTAGAAAAGTTCAGACCAGGTGGAGATTGTAAAAAGTACAATGTGTATTCATAATTATTTCTCTTTTAGTATAACATTTATAATTAAAATATGGAGATAAGAACGAACTAAAATTGGAGGAATTGTACATTTAAATAAAAGTATTCTTGAACTTTGTTTTGTTTTTTGGGGGTGATACTAAAGATATATATTTCAATAATTCAAAAAATGATTAAAATATTTGGTACATTAATTAATAATGAAACTCTTGAATATATACTTGAATATATACATCAATATATGTCATACTCCTGAACAGTATATATATATATATATATATCACATTCACATTCTTCTTTTTCTCAACATCAAATATAAAGCCAAAATAAAAGCATTTTCAGGTGGGAATTCTCAACCTTATTTTTTTCCAAAAAAAAATATATATTTATATTTTATCATGAATCAATCAAAATAACTAAAAATAATTAGAAATGGAAATTTCATGATCTTAAGAAATTAAAAACAATAAATTATTCATATCTGTTGGTCATCATATATTGACCAAACCTCCCACTGAATACACAGTTTCTCAAAACAAAAACAAAATAAAAAGGCTTACAATTCAGAATAACAAGGCCCAACTAAGCCCAAATTAACCTTGCTGAGGAGGAAGCTGTACAAGGCGTTGTGCAAAGATCCGGAGCTTCCAAGCGAAATGAGGGAGAAGAATCGGTACAAGCTGTCGAAGTTGCCGAGGAACAGTGCGTTTACGAGGATAAGGAACAGGTGTGTGTTGACTGGTCGGTCTAGGTCGGTTACGGAGCTGTTTCGGATGTCGAGGATTTGTTTCCGTGGGTTGGCGAATAAAGGGGAACTGATGGGTATTAAGAAGTCGTCTTGGTAGATGGCATGTGACTGAAATCACAAAGTAAGTAAGTGTGTGTGTATATTAGCTTTGTGTTAGTTAGAATGGTATGGTAATGATGATGATGAAATGTTTTCTAAATGGGAGGTTACTTACGAAAACAATAACCACTAGTTGTCAGTGATTGTACAAGAAGAGGAGATAAAACTAGTTATATATTTTTTGAATGAACCAAAACAAAATAAGAAAAATACTAAGAGATGATGAATAAAATACACAAATTTAGAATTATAATAATTGGAAAATTTCATTTATTTATATTTCTCTCTTTGAGATTTATAAACTAATAGGCATTATTGAATTATTAAAATAAAATAAAAAACTAAGAGATACAAAAGTATCTTAAACATTGGATAGAGAAAACTGAAGTTGTTTCTCAAAGAAACTAAGCCTATAGTCACCAAGCTTAGTCTTGTAACCAAATGACTTGTATTGAGACCAAGTAAGCTCTTTATAAAGCCTATCCTCTTGCTTTGGGACAAGGCATGACAATGGTGCAATCTTCTCGGTCAACGGAGGACCTGCGAAGTAGATCATTGATAATCTTGACTTTTTTGTATTTGTGAGTACTCTGTGTTTCACACTCTTGAATCTTCCGTTAGTCATCACCTGCAATAGTCAATATATAACCACCAAAAGAAGCATTAGAATTAATGATAATTTGCGAAACAATGATACAGTGCTGATTAGTTTCAAGTGCCAGGAGAAAATAAAATAAAATTAGACACCCACAATGACACATATCATATAATACTATGAGAATTCGGCCAAAAAAAGCACCAACTTTGCACGAATGGCCAAAAGAAACCTGTACTCGAGCCTGGCCAAAAGAAACCTGAACTTTTGTTGACTTTATTAGTTTATTTAAAAACTTACGATTGACTCGCCATTTTAACACACCGTTAACGAACCGTTAAGACGGTGTTAACTCGGACGTTAATTGTTGCCGTTAGGATGAAACACGTCGTTTTAAGCTATTTGAAAATAAAAAAACGTAAACCACTGGATTCGAACCTGGGTTGATTGGATTAAGTGGCAAGGTAGTTTACCACTAGGCTAGTGCCACATTCAATGTATCTACTAACACATTGACTTATATTTGGTACTGACTGAATATTAAAAAAATTCTATAAAAACTTTAAAAATCTTTAAAATTTCAACACAAATGAAAATAAAGAATTTTTTTATAAAATTAATGTTGAAATTAAAATTAAAATAAAATTTTATTTTTCTTTAAAAAATCATACGGGAACTTCAAAAATTCTATTTTTCTTTTAATGTATTTATTAACACATTTACTTATATTTGGTATCTATTAACACATCTAACACATTAATGTATCTATTAGATGTTTTTTATAAAATTAATTTTAAAATTAACATAAATTTTTTTTTTCTTTAAACTAAAATTTTGGAAGATTTTTGATTTTTTAAAGAAAATAAAAATTATTTTAATTTTAATTTTAAAATTAATTTTATAAAAAAACTCTTTATTTTTTCATTTTTTGAAATTTTAAAGATTTTTTAAAGTTTTATAGAATTTTTTTTATATTCAATCAGCACCAAATATAAGTAAAAGTGTTAGTAGATACATTGAAAAAAAAAAAAAATTTTAAGAGTTCCTGTCTGATTTTTTTAAAGAAAAAAAATATATTTTAATTTTAATTTCAAAATTAATTTTATAAAAAAAACTCTTTATTTTTTTCATTTTTTGAAATTTTAAAGATTTTTTAAAGTTTTTATAGAATTTTTTTTTATATTCAATAAGTACCAAATATAAGTTAATGTGTTAGTAGGTACATTGAATGCGCCACTAGCCCAGTGGTAAACTACCTTGCAATATAATCCAACTAACCCAGGTTCGAGTACAGTGGTCTACGGCTTTTTATTTTCAAATCGCTTAAAACGACGTCGTTTCATCCTAACGGCAACAATTAACAACGTTAATTTTTTCTGTTAAATTTGTTGACGGCGTGCCAAATTGGCAAGTCAACGAAAACATCGTTAATTAATTCGAAAGTCAATGAAAAATTTATGTTTTTTTTTGTCATGCCAAAAGTTCAGGTTTCTTTTGGCAATTCGTGTAAAGTTCATGTTTTTTTTGGCCGAATTCTCTATATACTATGTGTCACGTGAGGTATGGTCTACTAGTCTAGACAGAACTTTTCATACATTTTATGTAAATCCAAATCAGAGAGTTTACATAATGTTTTCATTTATTATATCAGAACATCTCTTAATATACAAAATTTTAATTAATTTCCACTTGATAAATTTTAATTTTAATTAATTTCCAAAATTTCCCTTTTAAACTTTTTAAAAGGAAACTAAAACCCTAAACCTTAAAATGGTGGATTTTCTTGCTTTTTGAAGTGTTACCTGTATATTTTAGGTTCAGATTTTTCTTAACAGACTTTTCAAACAAATTATATTTGATATTATCGATATATAGATTTATGTATTTAAAAAAAATGTAAATTCAGATATATATATATATATATATATATATATTTTAGACCTTGTGAACTATCAATATGCGATATCCTCTAACTATTAAAATTTGAAAAGAGAGAATATTTCGCATTATAAACAATAAAAAATATTGGAACATAAAGAATACCTGAAGAGTATCTCCGACAATAACGAAGAAAGAAGAGTGATCAGGTGGAACAGCGACCCAAGTCCCATCTTTCAAACAAATTTGTAAGCCCTCAGTGTCGTTTGATCTGAGCACTGATATTAACTGTGGATCCGTGTGCTCACCGAACCCAATCTCTTCCTTGGCCGGTGTCTCTTCCTTCTCCTTGTAATAGTTCATCCTAAGACAAGAGTCACTCTCCTTCACATTCACCAGTTTGCTCAGCTTCTCCTTTGGCATTATCCCTAACTCAACTTCCACCATCTCTAGAATCTTGCTCGACATTCCCTTCATCTCCTCCATGTACTCTTCCACCGCTTCTCTGTTTCAGTTCAAATTATATTTTAGTATTACTTCCGTTTCAGAATGTAAGATAATAAATAAGTTTTCCATGTTTAAAAATAGAAGATTGTTAAACTTTCTAAAATACTTTTAATTTTATTAACAACTATATAATTAATTATATATTATAATTAATTTAATAATTTTTAATAAATATTTTAGTGATTTTTTAAGTGAAAGTAACTTTTTAATATTTGTAGTTTCACCTAATAAACAGGGGAGCTCTGTTTTGGGTTAATCAGTTTAGGTTCTACCTGAAAATGGCATGGGTTTGCCGGAAGACGGCGGTGGTTTTGGTAGACGACAGATTACTATTAGCATTGAGGAGAATATACTCAATGGATCCCACGTCACCATTGAGTCCAATTCGTTTACTACCGTATCCAAACGGGTCGGCTGGACCCGCTTTATCTTTGAGACAATGAGGCAGAGCAAAGAACTTGGTGGCTTCTTGCTCCAACTGGGTCAAAAGATCGGATCGGACACCATGGTTGACGCCTTTGAAGAACCCAAACTCCTCGCAAGCCTTGACGACGTGGGTTTTGGCACCTGGGTTGGTTAAGTCTACAACAGGGATTAAAACCGGACTCGGTTTGCATTTTGGGTTAACATAGAGTGGCGGTAACAAGACTACCATGGTTTGTTGATTGAGTCTTTTACAGAAACTTGTCTACAGAATGAAAGATTGTTGAAGTGAAAAACTAGGAGAAAAGACTTGGTGAAAAGGTTGTTTCCTTAGCTTTGATTTATAGTTGCTGCGTGTGTACAGCAGCGCCCATGATTTTTAATATTTTATTCTTAAAATGTCGGGTTTTTTGTTGGGTAATGCATTTTTTACTCTTTTGGTGGATTTTATTCTATTATATAATCCGTATATCTTGACTTATTTCATTTTATAGATAACAAATAAACGGGTTGTTGAAATGAATAAATTCTGGTGAGAGTGAATGCTAACTATAAGATCAATTTATTTATTTATTTTAAGAAAATGAAAAATCAAATGAATAAAATCTATATAATTAACTATTAAATATATTCATCACTTAGAACTATTTCATTATAAGGTTGATCACAATATGCATCAATTTTATTTGAAAATCATTTTTGTAAGAGATTTAGGTCGAACTATTTGTTAAATCATATACTAATCAAATTAGTTTATTAATCAAATCACTGTTGAAGTAGAAATCTCAACAATCACTAATTTTAACGAAAAAAAAAACAAATAGTCACTACTTATTTGTAAGTACAGTAGTAATGATGAGAGGACCATAGTCTTTTAAAATAATGGTGAGAGTTTGTGAATATCATTTTCCTTCTTTTTTATCCTCCAACAATGATTTTGTAAATTGTAATATCCTATGTGTACCTTTATAAGAAGGAAAGGTTCAGAAAATCATAAGAAGACTTGCAGTGATCCTCTATTTAACACGTGTCGGAAACTGAAATTGACTTCACGGGGTTGCGATTTTGTGCACAGCCGACCTCTCTGCGTCCACGTGGCTCCAACTTTCTATTAATAGTATGTTTGATTATATATGGAGACACTATTTCTGTCGGATTCTAGGAGGAAGCATACGAAACCCATGTAAAACTCTCAAAAATTATAAGAAATTAATAATTTTGATATACAATTATATTTCATACGACAAAAATATTAAGACCAATAATTTCTAAGAAAGTGTAGAAATGTTTTCTTTAAAATTTATTAAAATCTCTTTAAAAAAATTACAAGATCATCATCATCCAAAGCCGCAACATTGGTGTTTTCCAGAAAATCGGTATACTCTCTCAAAACTATCCGATGGCACACGATCTTTGGATATGACACTCATTTTTCGGCTTACCAGGTACCCTGAACGATATTAATGTTCTTGATCGGTCACCAATGTATGATGAGATTTTACAAGGTCGAACTCCTAAGGTTAATTTTAAGGTCAACAACCACAACTATCGCATGGCGTATTACCTTACCGACGGTATTTATCCGAAATGGTCAACGTTTATCTAATCCATCCCACTTCCTCAAGGTGCTAAAGCAGAGTTATTTTCTGAACGTCAAGAATCCACGAGAAAAGATGTCGAACGGGCTTTCGGAGTATTGCAATCGAGGTTTGCAATCGTTAGAAACTCAGCTCTACTATGGGACATAAAAAAATAGGAAGGATTATGAGAACTTGTGTCATCCAACACAATATGATAATAGAAGACGAACGAGATTCATACACTTTGAATGATATATCTGAGTTCGAGACAGGAGAGTCAAGCAGAGGTTCGCAGGTTCAAACGACAACAACTTTGAATGGCGGTAATATGCATGGCGTTCGCAATGACATTCGAGATTCACAGACACATGCTCGTTTAAAAGCTGATTTGGTTGAAAATGTTTGGCAAAAATTTAGTAATCTAAATTAAAAATGTTTGTATCCTCATGAATTATTAATGGTTTGAATAATAACTTTTAAAAAATTAATTAAAAAATTATTTCTCATGTTCATGACTTCTTATTATTTAATTAATTATATTTTTTGGTCCAAAAATCTCATTCTATTGAATATTAAAATTAAAAAAAAAAATTTTAATCCAAATTTTTTTTAAAAAATATATATTATTTTTTTCCTATGAACTCCTATTTCGGGTTCATTGATGGAGGAACACGCTTCTTTCGGGTTCAACACTGTTCATGGTCCCATCATAAATAAAATAAAAATCCTAATGAACCTCAAGGGAGGTTCATTGGTGTTGATGTTCTTACGAGACTGAAATGTTGCTTGTGGATCTACTTGGTTTGCTTCTACATTAATTTTCCTCGCAAATAAAACTTCATATTTTTCACTCTTTAAGTACAATTTTCTAAAAAACAGGGGAACATTTGAAGAGGCTTCAAAATGTAATTGTATAGAGGATGAAGTCATAACAGATGCAAGACGTCCTCTTTACCAGGCAAGTCATGTAATAATCCCTTTAACTACTGTTTATCCTCGCTTACTGTCAAGTGTTGTTTATATCTCAGACTATAATCCACTACCTCAGTGGACATCCTGAGAAGCAAGTGGAGAAAACATTCAACAGGTTTAGGGAGATTCAGATGGGTCTACAATGGCCTGGAAGCTCAGAAGACTGTGAGACTCACGAAGTCACATTAGATGAGTTCAAGAAAGTGATGGAGTCTCTTAAGCAAGAAATCGAAGACAGCAAGAAAAGAAAAACCGTAAACTCAACTCCACTAGAAAAACAAGATAAAATGATGGAAGATATATATGTATATTTCAATAATTTCAAGAAATGATTAAAAGATTTGGTACATCAATTTTATTTTATTTATTTATAAATTCTATCATTCTATTTTATTTTTTATATTATACAATTTGTATTACTAAAGTTTTCAAAAATTGCAAAACAATTTTAAATATAAATTTCTAATCGGAAAATCATTAGTTATATAAATTTTTTGTAAATACTGTTTAGTTTAAATTTTTGATATTTATATAATTTTATATCATTTTTATTAATTTTAGACACATTAACTCAATATATTTAAGCAATATAAATAGATAGGTAAAAAAACTAATAAAATTTAATTTAATGTTTAACTAAATCACATCTATATTTAAATATTGATAAAAAACTAATAAAATTTATAATATTAATAAAAATTATTTTTAAATATAATCTAAGCTTTCAAATTTCTCACTGCACATGGTGAAAGAAAACACCTAGTATATATGTATATATATATATATATATATTATATTCACATGCTTTTTCTCAACACAATAAGAGCATTTTCAAGTAGGAATTCTAAACCCTGAAATTTTCCAAATATAAATAAACAAAAGTATTCATATTTTACAATAGATGTATCAAAATCATTAATTTTTTTTGTAAATGGGGTTTCACAATTTTAAGATATTCAATTTACTAATATATGTATGATACTTTTCATTTTTGTCAGAACCTGCCACTGAATACTTTCTCAAAGCCAAAAATAAAAGGCTTATAATTCAGAATAACAGGGCCCAATTTAGCCCAAATTGAGCAGGCCCATAACCATCATCGCCATTTGCGAGAAGAAGAAGCTCTGTCTCTCTCCGTAGAGAAAAACCCTAATCAAAAAAATTCCGCGGCGGGTGCTAAAACAATGGCCAATCTCCGATCACTCCTAACAAACCTATCTTCCTACTGTCAACGCTCCTTCTCCCAATCCCTAACCAAACCTCCGAATCAAATCCAAACCAGACAAATCTCGACGACACTCACCAAACCGGCGACGTCGAAGCACAGCGGCACGGAGCAAGGAGTGAAGCGAAACAGCGCCGATCACCGGCGGAGACTGCTCGCGGCGAGGTTCGAGCTGAGGAGGAAGCTGTACAAGGCGTTGTGCAAAGATCCGGAGCTTCCCAGCGAAATGAGGGAGAAGAATCGGTACAAGCTGTCGAAGTTGCCGAGGAACAGTGCGTTTACGAGGATAAGGAACAGGTGTGTGTTGACTGGTCGGTCTAGGTCGGTGACGGAGCTGTTTCGGATGTCGAGGATTTGTTTCCGTGGGTTGGCGAATAAAGGTGAATTGATGGGTATTAAGAAGTCGTCTTGGTAGATGGCATGTGACTGAAACCACAAAGTAAGTGTGTGTTATGTTACTTAGAATGGTAATGATGATGATGAATCTGATGATACAATCGTTTGTTGCAGGGCAGCAAGGAATCAAATACAGTTTACGGAAGTAGCTGTTGTTTAATGTTGGTGTAATCCATTACAGAGTTTAATTTGGTTATAAAACGAGTGCTGCTTTTTTTTTTGTTAATGATCTCGTTGAGGATTATTGAAGTTATTCTAGTAATTCTTTTTGAATAAGATGAGCACTGTGGCAAACTTTTCAGCTCTTGTTTTGCTTGTCGTTAAGTGTTGCTCTTTTTTATGATCTCGTTTAAGGATTTGTGAAGTTTCTGTGTGTTGTAGCGTTTGTTTAGTCAAAGTTAGTGAGTATAAGTGGAGAATCACTAACTAAAACATTAGCAACAAAAACAAGATTCATCTGAAATTTGGCTTGTACTGTATGTTTTTGTTGCTATTTGGGATTGTTAAACAAAATCTGGCTACAAGTAAACAACACTTAAGCTTGATCTATAGTTAGGTGAGGGTGTACAGCATTTTAGCTGCCCAAAGGTTGTTAGTTAAGTTATATGACTAAAACATAAGACACTTGAAAGATTGCTCATCTTCTAAGATTACAAAAATTCTCTCTGGAAGCATTTTGAGTCACCAATTAAGTATTTTAAAGTCTCGAGAAAACTGCAGCACAAGAGTTGTGATGAATATCTTAAACCGACAATGATAGTGTTCAGACTGCTTTGATTCGAGATATGATTATTTTTGTGGGTATCAAATTCAGGTTTTTAGGGTATAGAGGAATGTAAAGGTCTTTGATACTAGGAATATAGTTGGTGAAGATGATTAGATATATTAGGTACTTAAGATAATGCTGTCTTCTCGATCCTCTTGAGAATTTTGAGAGTACTATTCTCGATCCTCATGTAGGCCTCTTCCGAATTCTCTTAACAAGAAGTTCACTGTTCCGCTATGTTCATCTTCTATCTTTTGTTTCTTCTGTTCCTCACTTCCCTTCTACCTATATCAATGTTCATTTGTTTTGTCAAATTATTCGCTAGCTGATTAAATTTCAGACTTTGTTTTTGTCTCGATTCATTGTTTTATATATAACTTCAAAAACAATGGTCAGGTACACAAACTATACACTATTACGTAGTTACACACTTACATGAAACTAAAGTAATTTATTGACAATATCATTACATGACAATATCTCTGAACTATTATGTGTTTTTGCTAAAACCATAAATATTATTTCGATAATTAAAAAGTGTTTCAAATTTAAATATAGTAGTAACATTTAATTTAAAAATTCATCAATCAAACTCTTAAAAACAAACCATAACACATATATAAAAGATCAAAAATAAAATAAATACATAGATTAAACATTCAATATTTTCATATGAACTTTTGGTAGAACATTTCCATTTAGAATACATAAAATTTCTTATAATTTTATATAAATAATTTACTTTTTAATAATATCAATATATATGTATATTAAATAGTATTTTATATGTGAAATATTTTTTAAAAAATATAAATAGTATTTTCAATAGAATTTAATATTTTTAAAAATAAAAAATAAAAAACATTTCACATTTAATACACTTTTAATATATATAAGTATAGGATTCGTTATTTGAAATAAAATATGACAATTTATATAAACTATAAATATATATATATATAGATTATTTAGAAATAAACAAATTATATATTATATAATAATTATATAATTGAATTGTTCATTAGTTTCTCAATCACTTTGTTAAATATACTAATGAGAACATATAACTTTTGAAATATACTATTTCTATAACATAATATTAATATTTTTTATCATTAACTCTAGCAATTGAGGGTAAGGAATATCTTGATAGCTGTTCAAATGGGCCAGCCAGGCCCAAGCAAATAAAAAGTCAAGGAAACTTTTATTTTTCACTATACCCGAATCTACTCATCACATATCAGATGGTTCTCTGATTGTAATTGAATACCATAAAACGACAGAAAGCGACGATCACTGCCGTCATCGCCCGGCGGCGAAAATCAACGGTAAGCTTAAACCTATTTGTAAAGATGATCACTTATATTCAGTTTCTCCCACACTTAGTAGTTTCGTTGAATTTATTATACTCGTTTTATTGGTCGCTGTGATGCAGAGGAATGATTGATTTTTTTTTTTTTAACAGAGAAACCCAAATGAGTTTTAGAAGTAAAAGTCGTAGACATGGTGGGGAAGATGTAATAAGCTTATTACCCGACCCTCTTCTTTGTCAGATACTCTCAAATCTCCCTACAAAAGATGCAGTCAAGACAAGTGTTTTGTCCCAAAGATGGAAATCCGTTTGGCTCTCGGTTCCCGGGTTAGAACTAAACGACCAAGAGTTCCCAAACCACGACGCTTTCGTGAGTTTCATCGAAAGGTTCATCGGTTTCTCAGTAGAGTCACCCATTGACAAGCTCAAACTCACTTCCAAGAGAGATCAGTTTAACCCTTTGGCTGTCAAGTCATGGGTTGGCTCCGCTGTTAAACGTAAACTCCAACATCTCGAGATTGGTTATTCCGAAAGATATTTAGGAGTTGAGTTCCTGTCGGCAGATATCTTCATCTGCCAGACTCTGCTATGTTTAAAACTCCGTTTTGTTGCCTTGAGTGATTTCAACCGTGTCTCTTTACCTCTTCTCAGAGCAATGAATTTAGAAGCAGTTAGTTTCGTAAGCGAAACCGCGTTGGAGACGCTCATCGCGTCTTGTCCAGTTCTTGAGGAACTGAGCATTGTTACAAGTCATGAGGATATGAAGATCTTACGAGTGAGTTCTCAGAGTATAAACAGACTCAATCTGGTTCTCAATAACCGTTGGGAGGCTCTTGTAACTGGTCAAGCTGTGATAGATGCTCCTAGACTCAAGTATTTGAGTCTTGAAGATAAACAATCTGCAAGGTTAAGAAACGTTTTTAATGTGAAAGATATTTTGGAGCAAAATGACTGGGCAAAGAGAAGTAGCATTTTTAAGTTTCTCGCTAGTATCTCGAGTGTCAGTGATATGACTATCTGTTGGAATACTCTCAAGGTAAAAGATAAATGCCAATGCGTGAATGAAACATGTGAATTTGGTTCATCTGTTGTTTTTTTTTTGCCAGGTTATTCGTCAATACTGTTACATAGAACCCTTACCTCAGTTTTGTTACATGTCTAAGTTGCATGCTAGATTCTTTGCTGCTGATTTGCAAATTTTGCCTGACCTTCTCGAGAGCTGCCCCAGTCTCAAATCCCTAGTCCTGGTGATGCTCTTATCCGTAGTCTATACTCCTTTTTTTTAGTTAATGAAAAAGACTAATCTATCCTTTCGTGGTAATTGCAGGAACTGAATGATTCCATTAAGAAAGAGGATCAAATTGGTTTCTCATCTTTAGTGCCTTTGTGTGTGAAGTCATGCCTAGAGCACGTGGAGATGAGAAAACCAATCGCTGGATTTGGAGTAGAAATGAAACTAATAAGATATTTCCTAGAGAATTCAACGCTTCTCAAGAAACTTACTCTGAGTCTGGGTTGTCCAAGGATGAAACAAGAGTCTCTCATCTTCATGGAACTCCTGAAATTCAGAAGATGCTCTAGTGCGTGTGAAGTTGAGGTTGTTGGACTCGAAGAGACATTGATGAAACTATGATCTTATTAGGAGATTTGTGTTTTGAACCATTGTCTAAGCTTTTTCTCTTCTGTTGTGTTCCTTTGGCGTAGATTATTTCTCAACATTATGGTATACTTCTCTTTTTAACCATAGTTGAAACTAAAAAAAAAATCATCCAATGGTAACTGTGTTTTAGTTACACCAGTTTTTTTTCTTCTAAAATACCAAAGTTAGAAAAACAGTCGATTAGTACTTGAACTGGGGGTTCATATCGTCTAATCATTATCTAAATTATTAGCCTGTGATATGATACCTAAATATGTAGACTCTACAATGTTAATTAAGTTATAATGCTCATTTTTACAAGTTTTTTTTCCAACAATAAATTGGAGAATGTCTACTTTACTTTGAAGTTCTCGTGTACGAATTATGGAACTGACAAATTAAAGTACCGAGATTTAAAGGCTAAAATATAACCGTTTCTGAAAACTTATTGCCAACCGCACACATGTTCATTCAAAAAGTTGCATGCATCTATCGTCGACAGTTACAATATATTATTCATATATTATTAACATATGGTACATTGTGTGTATAAAACACAGCTTTTGAGGCTCATGAATATCACACAACCAGCTAAAAAAAGTAACAAAGAAGGATGGTTATCTCTGTCTCCATATTAGCCTCTCTCACACCACACATACTAGTCTCAGCATTACTTCTCTACCTCCTCCTCGAGCAACTCTCTTACCTCCGCAAGAAAGGTAACCTCCCTGGACCTCTCTTCGTCCCTCCGATCATCGGAAACGCCGTCTCGGTCGTCCGTGACCCCACTTCCTTCTGGTACAAGCAATCCTCTTTGGCTGGAAACTCCCCTGGCCTCTCCGCCAACTACCTCGTCGGAAAATTTATTGTCTACATCAGAGACACTGAGCTTTCCCACCAGATCTTCACCAACGTACGTCCCGATGCATTCCACTTCGTCGGACATCCTTTCGGAAAGAAGCTCTTCGGTGACCACAACTTCATCTACATGTTCGGTGACGATCACAAGTCTGTTCGTAGACAGATTGCACCAAACTTCACCCCCAAGGCACTCTCCACATACTCCACTCTCATGCAAGTAATCATCCTCCGTCATCTACGGCTATGGGGGGAGAGTTTTACCGGTCCAGTCTCGCTTCGAAGCCTTGTCCGTGACCTAAACCTAGAAACTTCTCAGACAGTGTTTGTCGGACCTTACCTTGACGAGGAAGATAAAAACAAGTTCCGTACTGATTACAACATCTTCAACCTCGGAACCATGACGCTGCCTTTTGACCTCCCGGGGTCTGCCTTCCGGGAGGCTCGCATGGCGGTGAAGAGACTAGCCAACATACTCGCCGTCTGCGCGGGAAAGTCTAAAGCGAGAATGGCGGCAGGAGAGGAGCCTACGTGCCTAATAGACTTCTGGATGCAGCCCATCGTAGATGAGGCTGCATCCGGAAATTCGCCTCCTCCTCATTCTAGAGATGAGGAGATAGGCGGCTTTCTCTTCGATTTTCTTTTTGCGGCGCAGGATGCGTCCACGTCATCGCTTTTATGGGCGGTGACGCAGCTTGAGTCTAAGCCGGAGGTGCTGAAGAGAGTGAGGGAGGAAGTGGGAAAGATATGGTCGCCTGAGTCAAATGCGTTGATCACCGTTGACCAGCTCGGGGAGATGAAGTACACGCTCAATGTGGCGCGTGAGGTCGTGAGATATAGGCCACCGGCGACTATGGTCCCACACGTGGCAGCTGAAGATTTCCCTCTCACGAAAACATACACTATACCTAAAGGAACCATTGTATTTCCTTCAGTCTTTGACTCATCGTTCCAAGGGTTCACTGAACCGGACCGGTTTGATCCAGACCGGTTTAGCGAGACAAGGAAAGAAGACCAGGTGTTCAAACGCAACTTCTTGGCGTTTGGATGGGGCTCGCACCAGTGCGTGGGTCAGCGTTACGCATTGAACCATCTAGTGCTGTTCATCGCAATGTTCTCGACGCTTTTGGATTTCGAGAGGGTTCCATCGGACGGGTGTGATGAGATTGTGTACTGTCCCACGATATCTCCCAAGGATGGATGTACGGTGTTATTGTCTAGGCGCGTCGCAGCGTATCCGGATATCTTTCGTTGAATTAATTTGGAGTCTTGTGTTTTATTACTGCTGTTTCTGAGGTGTGTCTCCCGAAGCGAGTGGCGTTGGAGTATTATTTGAATTTGGATTATGTCATTTTGTGTTCAGCATTCTGTTTTGTCTTTTTGTTTGTCGCCATTGTAGTTATGAGGTGAAGTCATGGCGTGAAGTTATGGAGTGATGTTTATGGCATGCATTTACTGTAGATCTTGGATTTGATTCTTATGGTCAGATGTCTTTAATTCGATTTAAATCTTAGTGCCCAGTGGCGTTTCTGGTGTCCGGTGATCTAAAGTTGATTTACCAAATGCGTTATGTAAATGGCTTTGCTATGTGCTGATATTTTAGGGCAAGAAACTGAAAAGTGTAGAGATAAAAGAACCAGAAAATAGAAGAGATCAGATATTTGGGTTAAGTTTTCCTGTGTTATCATGACTGTAAAAACAAATATTGATGAAATGAAGTAGAGTAATATATACAATATTTATATTGCAGAATGCATCAAAACAATTATTTAAGTGAGAACTATATTAAGTTCAATATTTTTTAATTAATTTGGAAATCTTTATTGGATTTGGAAATTTTTGATGAGTACTTTTTTTTATCTCTGTACCCCCATTGAATCTGCACATATAACATATGATTTTTGCTCTCAAGTTTACACTCTCTCTTAATCTTGGGTTGAAAGAACTCCATTATCCAAATTTTAGCAACAAAAAAGAATTTCATTATCGTTATAAATCTAATAAGATATTCCTCTTATAAAATTTTTGTACGGGAAATTATGTATATTGTTAACCTTGACAATTGCATACATCAAGATAATATTAGTTAATATATAAAGTTTATTGGTAGTTGTTTATTTCATGAATAAGACGGAATGATGAAAATGAAAATATCACAAGAGGCCTATATACAAGTACAACCAGAGTGAATATATAAAGCATGTGACATTTGATTGTTAGCTACATACTCGAAATTTAATATTATCATATTTCATATCAATACAACTGATATCGATCATCTATCCTCTTCGTCATGTTCTACTAATTTCACTCCTATTTAGGAAAACTTGGAAGTCTACATCATATAACATTTATTTTGGCAAAGACTGCTTTGCAGAACTTTTAAGGCTTGTGGGCTAACTTTGTACATGGATTTTTAGCTTCGGCTAAAAGATTTTTAGATTTTAAGTAAGAAAAGTTAAAAACCGTTTCTTAAATAAGAAAAATATAAGAATTGTATTTTAATCAAAAAATGTTTTAAAAAATGTCAAATTATAAATTAAGAATCTCAATTAAGAGATTGAAGTTAATGATGTCCTAACAATATAAATGGATCATAATTATTTATAAGCTGACAATATGGTCAAAAGAAAAAAACTAATCCTTCATAGAAACCTTGTCAAATACACAAAGAAAAGTTTCACTTTTGTGATGATTGAAGCTCTTTCAGATTGAGAGTTATTCCAGTTCTACCTTGACCACGACTACAACTTTCCATCATGTCCATATCCAATTTAAAACGAAGATGGATTTTGGGTCAGTTATATATTGATAGCTTTTTGCTGATATACCAAGTTTTAAACAACATCAATTAATATCACCTAAAGGTTCCTTAATATAAATAAATCATGTTTTGTTTAATACAACTTACAAAGCAACTAGAAGAGTACTATTTTTAGTTTATGAATAATGTGATAGTGGTATTATAAGAGTACTATTTTTTTTTGTATCCCGGATTCAAAATTACTTTTTAAATTTTGGTATAAAAAGTAAAAAAACTGATCTAAAAAGATCATGGACTGAAAAATTCAACAGAGCTCCCTTTATTTTTTAAATTAAAAAAACTCAATTTGGAAACCCAACAAATAAATTATGAACGAGGAAATAACAAAAAAGTAAAATAAAATAGGGTGGGTTTACAATTTCATTAACCCATTGGGCTTTGTGAATCCAGTTTAGCTACTAGGGTTTTGGCATACGGTCGTTTATAAACAGCAAGAACACTCGCCGTCTCCATTTGTTTAAGTCTCTACCAACGAAAATGGGAGCTTTCAGGGTAAGCTCTTGATCCCTTCTCTATCTCTAATGTCTCCATTAACTATTAATCTGAATATGTGCTCTGGTCTTTCTTTGGCAGTTTCACCAGTACCAGGTTGTCGGAAGAGCTCTTCCGACAGAGAAGGATGTGCAACCTAAGATCTACCGGATGAAGCTTTGGGCCACGAACGAGGTTCGTGCCAAGTCCAAGTTCTGGTTAGTAATCTACTTCACCTCTCTTCTTGATTTTATTATCCTTATCTGCTTTGGTCTCTTAACTATAATTTTTGTGATTTGGATTTAGGTATTTCTTGAGGAAGTTGAAGAAGGTTAAGAAGAGTAACGGTCAGATGCTCGCCATCAACGAGGTACGTTCTTTCTCCTTACTTATCTAATGGAAATATAAACTCGCTGGATGATATGAAGTTGTGATAGATTCATTATTGTGGCAGGAAATGTAATAAATAACCTAACTTGGGTATAAAGCGATTGTTTTGTGCTTTTATTAGTAAACTGACATTCTTTTGGTAATGTTTATCGCTTTGCCACTCAAATTTGATATAACGCTTGAGCTTTACATACACTGAAGTTGTGATAGATTCTTCTAGACTATGTCAGGAAAGTGAACTAACTTATCCGCAAAGCAATTGTGTTTGTTTTTTTTTTATATTTTTTCCTTTGGTAAAGTTCATATCTTTGATTCACAAATCCCCAAAAGCTCACTTTACTTTTTCAAAGATCATAGCAATAATGTTATATTTTGTTTTTGTTTTTTATTCAAAGTTGGAACAAATATCATACAAGCCTTTTTGTTCTCTTATTGTTCTTTTACTGATGTAATGCGTTATTGATTGGTTGTAGATCTTCGAGAAGAACCCAACAACCATCAAGAACTTTGGAATCTGGCTGAGGTACCAGAGCAGAACTGGATACCACAACATGTACAAGGAGTTCCGTGACACTACCTTGAACGGAGCTGTTGAGCAGATGTACACCGAGATGGCATCACGACACCGTGTCAGGTTCCCTTGCATCCAGATCATTAAGACTGCCACTGTCCCTGCCAAACTTTGCAAGAGGGAGAGCACTAAGCAGTTCCACAACAGTAAGATCAAGTTCCCATTGGTGTTCCGCAAGGTCAGACCACCAAGCAGGAAGCTCAAGACCACCTACAAGGCCTCAAAGCCCAACTTGTTCATGTGAAAGAGTCTCTGATCGAGTCTTGACATATCTTTTTGTTTGGGGATAGAATCTTTGATGAAGTTATCTGCTGTTTTGTCTTTCTTTTTAAGGATATTTTTGTTTTATCAACATTTTAGTCGGATTCATGGAACTAAACTCCACTTTGTCTGGATTCTGCGGTTCTTGCTTCTTGATTTTGAAAAGAAAATTACCCTTATTGATTGATTCCTAAGTTCTCTTTTTATTGGAAACATTCTCACTTCTATAAAGCTCCTTAAAATAAACGAATATTCATCTAGTAATCAAGACTAAAGTTGTATATTTGAAAAGAGAAAGTCAAAACCATAACCATACAAGAACTAACACATTCTCAAATTTCAATAATTTTTTGTACATCTAGAATTCTAGATCGTTGGATATATGCAAGAGGTCTTTATACAGTTAGAAGCCGAATGAAATACATAGCATGTGACGAACATTTTCATAAAGAATCATATATTTCATTCAAATCTAAAGCTGTAACTGGAATGCATTTTTTGGAATAAATTTTTCATGAATGCTTAATTTCTATGCATTCCAAACATTATTCACCAGTCACAATGAAAATTTGGAAATGGTATTCCATTTTACTCCATAACATCTCCTATATATTAAAAGAGAAGTATTACAACATTTTAGTTATGACATGTGTCATTACTAAAATGTTTTTCAAAGTTTATAGAAAAACATTGTTTGGTCCATATAATATACTTCCTCCGTTTCATATTAAGTATCGTTGTAGAGTAATTTTTTCGTTACAATATAAGTGTCGTTTTCGATTTCCAATGCAAAATTTATTAATTTTATTATGTAATTTGTTTTTATATTAGTTAGAATGTGGTTAGGTGTATAGGTAATTGTGTTTTTATATGAGAAATATGCAAAATTAATTGTTTTCTTAATTCGTGTACACAATTATACAATGACACTTATAAGGAAACAGAGGGAGTAAATTATGATGCTTTTCATTATTCCTTAAATAAACTACGAAATTACCTAATATGATTCATATATATATATATGAGAATTAATGATTTGAATAAAACAAATTTGATAAAAATTATGTTATCTATTCTTTTTGTTAAATTAATATTATAAAAATAAATCAAACAATCACGGTAAGTGTATAATACAACAAATTAGTTTTTCCGTCTATGTTATATTATGAATTCTTAAAAATAACTATAAATTAACACAACCTTTAAAATTCAACATAGAATTTTTGATTAATAATTGTTTTTTGTTATGATAAGACACAAGTGATTATACAATCAATGAGTAGAAAATATCAATTAACATATATTCACATATATATATATATATATAAAATTTTTTTTATAATGGCGTTTAAATTAAACTATATGCCTTCTAAAATTATATAAAATTCTTAATTTTAAAATTTGCAGTGAACAAGTATTGAGAACTTAATACTTTAGTTTCAAGTTTTGAAATATTTTCTTAACAAAATGATTATGAATTACTATATATATTAAACGTCTCATATTAAAGATTGTGTATCATGATTATTTGAAAAAATGTTATCAATAGTTTAAAAAATTTGTTATGAAATATACAAATAATTATAAAATCATATAAGTATAAAGCTTCATTTAATAGATATATAAATAAAATATACTATACATATCTATGTTAAATCAATTATTTTCTATATTTTAGTTATATAAAGTAATTGTAAATAACCAAGTGTGACTTTTTATTTATGTGAGCATGCTAATTTAATTATATACATAATATTTACTAATTTTCTGTTATTCAATGTATATATATATATTTCTTTTTTCTTATAATATGTAAAAAACATAATATAAATAATAATTTGTATATATAATTCTTATCGCGAAGCTCTAAACCTTCCAGAGAAAGGGGAAGAGAACGTCCTCACGGACCAACGAGAAGCGCCTGAGGTAGAAAAAGTTCCTCCCAAAAAAGAAATCAAGAATTGCTTCGAAAGAAAAAAAATAGGGATGCTAGTTACAACAAAATAAAAACTAAATAGGGATGCACTAGATTTCACTCTCTATGCTTCTTCCAATGTGACAATTTAGCTACATATTTGTAAATAAATTGTTATCATTTATATATCAACTAATATCGGATATTTATCCTCTATGTTCTTTTCTACTAATTTTACTTCTATTTTGAAAAAAACTTGAACTCTTTTTTTTTTTGTTGGGGAAAATGGTTTTACTTCTTTGCTGAAAATTCAAAACAATATAAATAGTTTATGCTAAAGAGTAACTGAACATTAGTGGCAGAGTGTTTATTAGATAATTCTTACCACTAGACCAATAGTTTGTTTGTCTTGAACTTTCCTCTTGTTTTTTTTTTTTTTGGTAAAAACTGCTTTGCATAACTCTTTATCATTTGTGGGCTAGCTTTGGACCAGTATGCAAGATTTTAGTCAATTTAAAGAGTTTGGTGAAAAGGATAACTAACTGGCTAACGATATAAATAAACCACTTAATGGAGCAATGGCGTACTAGTGGATAAGATATCCAAAAAAAAAAGAAAAGAGCAACATATCCTTTGCTTTGCTTTTCTTTTGTTTTGGTGTAAAAAATGTTAAAATCTGATATCTCTATAATATTATTTGAGAAGTCAGTTTCATACGTGTCGCGTTCACGTTAACTCTCACGATGGTTGATTACATAGATACCTTAATAAGATTAATAATATATTTCTTTTTTTTTTATAATAAGATTTTACTTATTTTTTTTAATATAAGTCTACTTTCTTAAAACACATAAATAAAAAAGGAAATATTTATGAAAAATAAATCTTTATATATAAACGAAATTTAATAATATTTTTGAAATTTTCCTAAAATAACACGTTTAGTGTTTATTTAATTGATATTAATAAGTAAATTTCATAATAATATCTTACTTAATTTTTTAATATAAGTTTACTTTTTAAACACAAATAAATTAAAAAGGAAATATTTATGAAATATAAACCATTATATATAAACTAAATTTAATTTTTTCGAATTTTACGAAAATAACATGTTTAGTGTTTATTTAAAAAATATTAAAAAGGAAAGTAAAAATATTTTTTAACAAAAATAAATATTTTGATCACGTAATTTCAAAATCCTTTTAAATAGCATAGCACTATACACAATTAATGAAATGGAAATATAATATTTTATCATTGTTAAAAATTATTTTGATATTTAGTTTGCTTTTTAATGTTATGTTTTTCTTATGTTTGTGGAACTTAATATATAAATAATCAAAATACTCAAGTAAATCTAAGTTCTCATTTTTAAAATTATTTAAAATACGTTTCAGATTTCCTTTTAAGAGATCTACCGAATCAAATAATTCATTATTTATAAATATTTAATTATTTTAAATATTAATATGTGCTCATGAAATTTCAAAAGTTTATCTTTATACCCATATTTATGTATGTAAATTCCTATTGATCGTCACTTTATTTTTTTAATATTTCCTAAAAATCGACATGTATCCAATTATTATTTTTTTTAGAAAAATACTTGCATTAAGCGATAAATAAAACTAATTTGATTTTATTTAATTAGAAAAAAATAATTATATTTTCATTTGAATTAGTAAATATATATAACTCAATATACTCACAAAACGAGTAACGGGAAGAATCTAACTTATATCCAAAATAAAAGATTTAACTACATCAAGAACATATAATTTTAGAATAATTATTTATTTATTTTATACAAATAGATTACAGGATGACTCAAAAATATCAATATATAAGAATAAATTATTAACCAACTGTTATAATTCAGTTTTTTTTGTAAAATTTATATATATGAATGAGACTTCAAAATTTTATCGTTATATTCATTTATGTAATTTGGAATCAAAATTTCAGTTTATTTTTAATTTCATTATAAGCATAATTTATATTAAATTATACATAATCTTAATAAAATATATTTATGTATATAAGCTGATAACCAATCTAAATGCAATAATAATCAAAGTTTTAGTATATTTAGAAGAAAAATATTATAGTTGAATTTAGAAAAATAGATGCAATCTAAAATGCACAAGTGTAACCAAAACGACTATTGACCAAAAAACAACCAAACCGATTAAATATAACATCTCCCAAATTGTATGTATAATTAAAATAATATAATATAAGTTATACATATAAATTATAAACTAATTATAATTAAAAGTACACTATCTAAATTTATAAATTAGAATATACCACAATATAATTACTTAATAAATATTCATACCCGTGCATGTGCATGGGAAAATCACCTAGTAAACAATATTCTGGACTGAAGTTCAACAGATTAAGAAATACAAAATTGGGCTTTCATGGTTTACAAAACCTCGGCCCATTAAGGTTTGTGAATTATGTTTTGCTATTAGGGTTTTGCGCATACGCTCGTTAATAAACTGGCAAGAACACTCGCCGTCTCCATTTGTCTAGGTTTCTCCCGACGAAAATGGGCGCTTTCAGAGTAAAAGCTCTTAGATCTCTCCTCTCTATCTCATTAGCTTAACTTTTGTCTTAACGTCGAATCTGATCTCTTGGCTCTTTGTCTTTTTTTTTTTTCTTTTTTTTTCTTTCACAGTTTCATCAGTACCAGGTGGTCGGAAGAGCTCTTCCAACAGAGAAAGATGTGCAGCCTAAGATCTACCGTATGAAGCTTTGGGCTACCAACGAAGTTCGTGCCAAATCCAAGTTCTGGTTAGTAACTTATATTTCTGGATCTTTCTTCCTCTCTCTTTCATCGCTTTAAGTTCTCTCTACTTTTGGAATTAGGTATTTCTTGAGGAAGCTGAAGAAGGTCAAGAAGAGTAATGGTCAGATGCTCGCCATTAACGAGGTATCTACTTTCTCCTTTCTCAGCTAATGGAATGTATTATCTGTTGGATGTTATGTAGTAAATGACCTTACTTGGGTGTAAAGCAATTGAATTTGTTTTAGGAAATGTGGTAAATGAGCTTAACTTGGGTGTAAAGAAATTGTATTTGTCTGTTTGTAAAGTTCATAGCTTTTGATACTCAAATCTTCTATAACGCTTGAGTTTACATACACTTTCACAAAGCTTATATAAAGTTTCATACAATGATATATAGGTTTGATGGGTACATTGTTGTGTTAGGAAATTCAGTAAATGAGATTTTTTTTGTAAGTTTAATATTTTCTTTTGTTAAAGTTCATAGCTTTACCGCTCAAACTGCAGAGCTCATAAAAAGCATGAACGTTATCTTTTGTTCATTGTGATTTAGTTTTTTTTTGTTAATCAAATTTCATGTTTTCTCGTCAGTTTTTGTAAGCTTTATTATTCATGTACTGATTTTAATCTATTGTTAAATTGTTTGTAGATCTTTGAGAAGAACCCAACAACCATCAAGAACTTTGGAATCTGGCTGAGGTACCAGAGCAGAACTGGATACCACAACATGTACAAGGAGTTCCGTGACACTACCTTGAACGGAGCTGTTGAGCAGATGTACACTGAGATGGCATCACGACACCGGGTCAGGTTCCCTTGCATCCAGATCATTAAGACCGCCACTGTCCCTGCCAAACTTTGCAAGAGGGAGAGCACTAAGCAGTTCCACAACAGTAAGATCAAGTTCCCATTGGTGTTCCGCAAGGTCAGACCACCAAGCAGGAAGCTCAAGACTACCTACAAGGCCTCCAAGCCCAACTTGTTCATGTGAAGGAGTCTCTGATTGACGCTTGACATATCTTTTTGTTTGGGGATAGAATCTTGATGAAGTTATCTGCTGTTTTGTCTTTCTTTTCATGGATATTTTTGTTATATCAACATTTTAGTCGGATTATGGAACTAAACTCTACTTTGTCTGGATTTTGCGGTTCTTGCTTATAGACTTTGAACCTTATTTCTTGATAGCTAAGTTCTCTTTATTTGAAACAACCTTACTTCTACAAATCTCCTTTAAATAAACCAATATTCATTTAGTAAGCAAGACTAAAGTTGTATTATTTGAAAAGAGATGTATATTAGGAATATTGGTTTATTTCAAGGAATGGAGCATTATTGGTAAGTGCTACAAATGAAGTATTATTGAGACAGACAGGGTCATTCCAGTCATTCTAGGCACATAGGGAACACAAAGAATCTCCGACCACTTTGGGAGATAAGGTTCTTCTCACTTCTTGAATTTGCTTTTGTGTGTTCAAGATTCACTCTCACCGAGTAGCTCAAGTGAAAAAAGTCAACGCAGCAACCAAGTCTCTTGAAAAATGGCGTCACACGACCATGATCATCACCATCACGATCACGAGGAAGGCCACAAGTTCGTGTTTCCTTGATTCTTTCTGCGATTTATTCTCCCTATCGTCCACTAATCTATCTAACTCTGTCAAGTAGGAAACAAGACGGCGGCAGTGGTGGGGACACGTCTTGGGTAGGACCAGACGGGAGGGTGTACCATAGCCACGATGGACTCGCACCACACTCACACGAACCCATCTACTCTCCTGGTTACTTTAGCCGCAGAGCTCCTCCTCTTAACGACCGTAACTTCTCTGAGAGAGCTTTCACCGTCGGTATTGGCGGTCCTGTTGGCACAGGGTAACTGTCTTTTCTCTACTTGAAACAATGGCTTTGATGGTGTTTTAGATTTGGGAACATAACAAAGAACAGTCTCTAGATAATGTTTTTTCAGACAAGATTCCATATTCTTGTTTGCTCAAAAGTGTCAAACCTTTCTATTTTTGGTTCACTCAGGAAAACAGCATTGATGCTTGCTCTTTGTAGAGTCTTGAGGGACAAGTATAGTCTTGCAGCTGTGAGTATTATTATTATTATCCAACACAAAGATTGTTTCCTACGGTCTGAGTACAGTAGACATGTGACTTAAGGAAGATTCTTGGTCTTGTATAGGTGACCAATGACATATTCACCAAAGAGGACGGTGAGTTTCTGGTGAAGCATGGAGCTCTTCCTGAAGAGAGGATTAGAGCTGTTGAAACCGGTGGATGTCCACACGCTGCTATCCGTGAAGACATCAGTATCAATTTAGGTCCTCTTGAGGAGTTATCGAACATGTTCAAGACTGATTTGCTTCTTTGTGAATCTGGTGGAGGTACGGTGCAGAGTTATGTCCCATAGGTTTCTACTTTCTCAAGGATCAAATGAAATTGAGTAGAGTTAGTTCTGTGTTGTGTTTGCAGATAATTTAGCTGCTAACTTCAGCAGAGAGCTAGCTGACTATATTATCTACATCATTGATGTATCTGCTGGTGATAAAATACCACGTAAAGGCGGTCCTGGAATCACACAAGCTGATCTTTTGGTATACTTATGTTTGCTTACTCTTTAACTTACAGTGATCAAGTCTATAGCAAGGTGATGATATAAGCTCCCTTGTGGATATTTTTGAAATTGCAGGTGATAAATAAGACAGACCTCGCAGCAGCTGTTGGAGCTGACTTATCTGTCATGGAAAGGGACGCACTACGCATGCGTGATGGAGGGCCTTTCGTCTTTGCTCAGGTAAAATATGATTGATTCATCACTTATATAACCAATGAGCTTAGTGTTTTTCTAAGGAGTATTTTATTCTGATTGCTAAACTATTTTCAGGTGAAGCATGGTCTTGGGGTTGAGGAGATCGTTAACCATGTCATGAACTCATGGGAGCAAGCAACCGGGAACAAGCGCCACTAACGAGTTCTAAAGAACCAAAATGGAGGAAGAGATAGAACTGAATAAAACTCTTAATACTTATCTCTGAACTCGGTTTATGCGCAGAAGCTTATGTATTTCTGTTTGTTGTTGTTGTACTCAAGACATAAGAGAAACAAGTGTTTTGTAATAGAGCATGAGACTCTCATTACATTGTGATTCTAGTTAATGTCCTCCTTTAACAGAAGTAAAAAGATCTTTGTAGGAACGTTTTGGAGCATCAGCACTCGCAACAATCTCCACAACTTTGAAAGAAGATGATTCCTCATCAAGCAAAGCTTCCACTGCAACTTCTGCTACCTGGTCTCTCGATATGCTCCCTCCAGACAAAGTATCCTACAAAAACCAAACATCAATCAGTTCCAGCTCAAAATCAGACAAAACAAAGATAAAAAAGACTGGTTTTACTTTTACCTCTGGCTCCATGACTACATTTCCTGAAGGAGGATCGTTTTTAAGACCACCAGGTCTCACAATAGTATAGTTAATACCCGATCTTTTGATATACTTCTCAGCTTGAAGCTTAGCGATGAGAGTAAGTCCAAAGACGTTGAGGAAGATGTAGGCAGGGTTAAGAATCTGTCCCATTGCAGCTCCATTCACCAAGATTGAGCTTATGAGCACAAACCTGTTCACTCCTTGTTTCTTACACGCATCCACTAGGTTCACTGTTCCAAAGTTATCCGTCTTCCAAGGAGCGAATAGATCAAACCCGGGACGAAAACCAGTAGCGCAGATCACAGCTTGAGAATCATCACCTATAGCTTCAGCTAGCTTCTCTGAGCCTTCTGTCACATCTGCTCTAACCTACAAGATAAAGATAGTCACATTAGTTTAAAAAAAAAAGATTAATCTAGAGGTATTCCAAACCTATAGAAGGAGTATTTTCTTTTCGGATATTCAAATGAGGTTTCATATTCGCGTGACCACACATGTTTAGTGTTGTGGGGCTATTCGAACTCGGGTTCCTTATCTACCCAAACTCCGTCTATAACTAGACTATCTATTTTCTTTCCGGATATTCAAATGAGGTTTAATATTCTGGTAACCACACATGATTAGTGTAGTGGGGTTATTCGAACTCGGGTCGCTTATCTTCCATAACTCCGTCTATAACTAGGCTATCTATTTTCTTTCCGTATATTCAAATGAGGTTTAATATTCTAGTAACCACACAGTGTAGTGGGGCTATTCGAACTTGGATCGCTTATCTTCCCACACTCCGTCTATAATTAGAATATCTATTTTCTTTCCGGATATTCAAATGAGGTTTAATATTCTCGTAACCACACATGTTTATAGTGGGGTTATTCTACCACTAGACTACCTATCTGTATATAGTTGTGAGAGAAACTAACACAATGTGAGAGGTTTAAAGAAAAAAATAACATACGAAGTGAAGAGAGGGGTCTTGTTTGAAAACTGTTTTAGCTTTGTCTACATCACGAACACCGGCTTTAACGGCAAAGCCACGTGATAAGAGCTGTTCCACGATTCTCTTCCCGGTCTGACCAGTGGCTCCAGCGACGAACACCTTTTTCTTATTCGACGAGGTGTCTTCTGCGGTGATCAATTCACTTGCGTTACCTCTCTCCATCTGGAGACACAAGGCTGTTAACTCATAAACCAAACATAATTCAATCTAAAGATTATAATTCCAAAATCTAACCTTGATGGAAGTGAAGGAACGAGGAGAAGAGTTTGTGTTCTTGGTGAAGAGGAAAGAAGAGGAAGACAAGAAGACAGCAGCTGAGGAGGAATGTCTGAGAAGCAGAGATGTTGTCATCATCGATGTGTAATAATCTCTCCCGCACCGTTAAAACTAAATATTAAATTTGTTGTATAATTTAGAGGTGAGAAATAAAGATTATATAAATATATATTTTCTTTTATGTGAAGTGACGTGAGAAGAAGAAAAGGAACAATTGATCTTTTGATTAGTATCATAGTATGTAATAAAATTTTGAAACTTAAACTATAAATTATTTTTGTTTAATCAAAATTTTAAATCAACTTGTATAAAAGTAATATAAAACTGATATAAACGTCGTATAATTATCAAAGAGTACAATCAAAAGTTAAAACATTATTTCTAAAATGTATAGATATATAAAAGAAGTGAATAATATATGCTTTAAAATTTCTAAATTTTGTAAAAAAGAAAAAATTCTGGTTTTCGTTTTATAAATTTTGGAGGATGAAATAACGCCACGTGACAAATGTTTCTCTAAATCTGTTATTTACCAGAAAGCCCCCAGCATAAAACTAATTTTATGATTCCGAGAAAATCTTTTCTGACGGCAAGGGAAGGAAGGAAGATGACGAAGAAAGGACCCAAGTCGCGACCTTCTTCTCCGTCGCTCACCGGAAACTCTGCTCGGTATGTTTTCGTCTATACTAAAAAGTTTTTTTTTTTTTTTTAACTTGTTCTGCTCTGTTTTCTCTGTTTTGGGTTTCTACTTAGGTGTTTTGTCCTTTCTAGTGATTGATTACTGATATAAGTGAATTGGGTTTCGGGACTTGGATCAAAATGTAATGAAAGTTGTGAACTTTATGCTATTCAAAGACAGTGAGAAGATGATGTTAAGACTTTGTTGTTAATTGCGTTCTGTAATTTTTCTTACAGGAACTTAGAATTGGTTGTGAAGTCAAGCGAAGATGTAAGGAGCTCTAAAAGGCTCAGACTCCAGCCTTTGAGGAAGCCCAAGAGTAGTCAGAATAAGAAGAAGAAAGCTACTAAAGTCCATGAGAATATGCCTAAGAAACCTCCCACTGCTTTCTTCTTTTTCTTGTAGGTGTATGATCTGATATGCTTAGTTGGTATTGTAGTTCGTCTACGTTTTGACATTGCGCGTTAGTTATGTTGCATTCCCAAATTGTTATGTTGTCTGGTTACTTTAGGAGATATACGAAGATACACTACACCTGCTTGCATGCTTTTGCCTCTTACCTCATATATGCCTTTTTATGTTTTGGTTCCAAAGGGAGGATTTCCGGAAGCAATATCAACAGGAGAATCCGGAGGTCAAGTCCATGCGAGAGGTAAAACATAGTGTGATTATTACCCTTCACTTCGATTCTGTTGCTAAACTAGTTTTGTTCTTGATTCTGTCTAAGATTGGGAAGACATGTGGAGAGAAATGGAAAACAATGACTTACGAGGTACCATCTTCTTCTGTCCCACTTACTTTCTTGTCTCTTAGAGTTTGATGAATCAGATACGGACTCAAAGTTTCTCTATCACCTTCCAATAGTTTTCTCATTAACTTTCGAGTCATAGCCACAGGAATGCTTACCTAAGCTGGGATATGATTTCATGTCCTCTATGTGCTATTTCAAACCCTTTAGAAAGATGAAAGTTTCTTACTCTCTGTTTGTCTGTTTGTTTCTCTACTGTTTTATAGGAGAAGGTAACGTATTATGACATAGCCACTGAGAAGAGGGAAGAGTTTCACCGAGCAATGACAGAATACACTAAGAGAGTGGTACCTTTTTTTCTTCTTATGTTTTTTTTCTTACTATTTAATACTGAGTCTGAGCTTTTCATTTTATTATTGTTTATGCAGGAATCAGGTGAATATGATGAATCAGAGACCGAATCAGATTTTTCTGAATAAGACCACATTAGAAAACATTGTTCTAAGCCTTAGACTATGGATTTTGTATATCAGTGACAACATTTAGAAGTTTGTTTGTTTTTTTGTTGGGATCTTTTCTTTAAGTGATACACACTCTTCTGTTGACTGCACTTTTAGATCAATAGAAACTGACCAGTTTCTTGAGTGTTAGCCAAAGGATCAAGTTTGAGTAAGTCACTTAGAGGCAGAATCTCAGGTATTTTCAGGATTTCTGATTACATTCTTTTGATATCATAGATGAGAACAGTTTTGAACCAACAAGATCTTTCATGTATTAGTAACTTCTGTATGCTAAAACAAAAATAGAATATTAAAAATTGTAAAACTCGATCTAGTTATCTAAATCTTCATCCTATTAGGAGCCTTGTTCTCGGAGATAAGCACAAGACAAGACGAAGCCTGCATCTCATTGACTTGACCTATGATCCTACAATGGATTCCTTCCAACTTCTCCATGTATTCCTTGAGTTCATCAATGGTAAGCTTCTCAATAGGCTTCTTGAACCTCTTCTCCCCAGCGGATTCAAGCTTTGCCTGACTCTTCTCGCCTCGTTTCTTCTCAGCTTCAATCTCTCTGTTGAGACAATCAAGACGTTCATTCACCTTTTTCATTTTAGGTCTACTCTTACACCTTCCTTCTTCTTTCTCTTCTTCTTCACTTTCACTGTCGGAATCATGGTCTTCCTTCTTGAACCGCTCTGTGACAGCATCAAGATTCGGTTTCCCGTAGGAGTAAGGCTTGCCTCCTGGTGAAAAGACAACAATACCTATCTCGGCGTTGCAGAGGGTGGCTAACTCGCTTGCCTTCTTGAACAAACCAGTCCTTCGTTTTGAGAAGGTGACTTGCCTTGTGTTCATGTCTTGAACCATCTCCATCTTGATCTTTCTCCGACCCATTTGTTTTGTAGTTTGTTAAACGGTAAATAATAAGAGAGATCGTTCTTTTGTTTCTTTGTTGCAGAGTGTATATATTGGTGAAGAAGACACAGACGATTGTCTCTTAATTTAGAAAGGGAGGTAGGAGAATTTTCATTGAACCTAACAAAGAGTAGATTTAGCAAGTTTTTAATTGAGAATCTTTGAATTGCCTTATTTCTAATTGTGTGTGTTTTCAAATATTTGTCAAGCATTCAACCATTGGCTCTTAATGCACACAATTAGAAACTATTCAAAATAAAGAATGAAAAATATTTCATAAACTGACAAAAATCCGAGTGACAGGACTACGCCTGACCATTCGAATCTTCGAGTCGGTTTCTTTTGGATCGGATCCTAGATATTTATACTCAATTAGGTATTTTAAAATTTTATGTTTGAATTTAGACCATTCTTTCGGATCGGGTCCTAGATATTTATACTCAATTAGGTATTTGAAAATTTTCGGTTTGAATTTAGACCATTTTCCTTTGGATCCAGATTGTTTCGAATGTATAATTAAAAAATATATAAAACATATGTGATTTTTGGATATGTAACAAGAGTCTGGATCAATTCGAGTATTTAGATTTGGTTGATAATATTTTCAAAAATAACCGAGGCAAAACTAGACATAAACCAACCAGTAGAAGACTTTATAAAATACTATTTCAACTAGGTAGAAGAATGATACATGCAATGTAAAGCTTAGTTAGAGCCTATCAATCCCATTATCACCAAATTCAAAATAATCATGAGCAACATCACCTTCATCTTCATCGTCAAAACCACCAGCAATCCCTTCGTTAAGGTGAACATTCTGAGGAAGCTCATCACAACTTTATAGATGACATCAACTTTGTTAATCGTTATCCATATCAATCATGAGTTCGACGAGAACAATGTCAGCATAACCGCTAAACCAAACCTTCTTGTGCATTTTACCTCTGATGTGACACATGCTTGTGACTCCGTCTATGTACTTGGCTTCACAAATAATAGAAACTAAGATTGGTTCTGCACATAGCTCAATGAAATAAGGATTTAATTTATTTTTTAAGAGATATTATACATAGCAAAACAATTTATTATTCTAAAAAAGAAATTTTTGCAAAAAAAAAAATTGTTAAATATTTATGGTCTCAGAGTCGACGCTACACAAAACTTGAATATATTCTTGAACAGTTGCAATGGAACTGAACGTTCCAAGTGCATCCAGCAAGAATCAAACCTATTTTCCTCTTTATTAGATTGGGCACTTTAACAATTCAGCGATGGATGCAAACAAGTGAACTAGGTTTTGGTATTCCTTCTCGAACTTCAATCTCTTCACTCCGAAGGGATGGTTGGAATTTGCTTCGCCACCAGTGGCAACAAAGTTCTTCGTAGTTCAAAAGGGGGAAGGTTAACCATTCCACTCATTGAAAGTGAACTGGTGGGCCTACCCATCCCAACAGGAAATGAGAGAAAAACAAAGCAATGCCAAGTGTTCTGTCAATTCGTTGTTCATCGATAGATGAAGCTCTCTCTTTATCATCTCGTGCCAAAAGTATGGAGGGAAATCAGATTTAAATTCCCAACAATCGATAAATTAGATGGCTAAGACTAGAAATTAGATTAGTAATTCAAGTCCATTTTATTAGTTTAACTGCAATTAAACTCGGCTTAATATTTTTTTTTTACTAAAAGAATTAAGCCGAGTTTATCTATTGTATATACTGTTTTCTGATGTCAAAGACCAGCAGCCATTCACGATCTCTCCCTTTCTTAATGTTTTCCCTCCTTTTCCTTTGTTTCTGCCATGATCAAAACCACTAGATGTGAAGGGATTTCAATAGCGATTAAAGTTGCTTAGATATGAACTTTGTTGCTTGATAGAAACTAAACTTAAAACTGACACAAAATTTGTTGCTTTTAAAATTTGGGTCAAAGTATATCGTTTCTTATAATTTCTAGTGTAAGAGTAAGCTACCAGTTCAAATTCAAATCCTCAAAGTCCACAAAAGCCTATATGATTCATCGGTCATATCATCCAGTTGCTCCATCTATGTGATCCATTCAATGTTAGGGACTGTTCGTTTCTCCATCCAGATGAACCATCTAGAAGAGTCATCTCGATGAATTTTATATTCGTTTCTTTTTCTATTTCCATGTAGATGAATTTAATAAAAAATTACGAAAATACCATTATTTTGATTTAATCATATAATTGATATTAATTTAAGAGAAATTCTCTATGATAGACCTAATTTTTTTTTTGTCACAAATATAGATCTTAAAAACAAATATGACTAAAATAGACTTAAAGGTTGTATCAAAAATAAGTAAATATACACTTATACCTTTTGGGTTAATTAATCTTATACATTTTTGTTTAGAGTTGAAGAGTGGGGTTTTGGGGATAGAATTTCAAATTAAAAAGAAATTAAAAAACTTAAAATTTTCAAAACAAAAAATGTTATTTTGATCATTTTAGTTTTGGTCTATTTGAGTGAATTGCCCTTAATTTTAACTATACTAACTTTATTATTTAGTCAAACTATATATGTACACTGAAATTATTATAAAATTAGCATTTTGATATTTTGGTGTTTTCGATTTTCGTGGGAAACACGTTTTTGTAATTTTGACGAAAAAATATATTTTGCGGTTTGGTGTAAAACAATTTTTGGCGGTTTTGACAGGAAAACGGTTGAAACATTTGTATACCCATGTTCTTGTAGCATAATTATCAAGATGGGCTTCCAAAATCTTGGAATTGGCCGAACATGAGTTGATGAAGACTGAGACTATGAGAAGGAAAAACAAAAATTAAGAAAGAAAAATAATCCCAAAACTAGTTCCAAGAACTCAAAAAAAGTTTGATAGTTTCCAATCATAAGATATTTGCATGATAAAAGGATTTACACGAGAGAAAGATAAAAAGCCTATAATAAAAACACTTTGTCCTTAACTAAGAGTCTAAAACCGTGAGGGACATGACCAAAGTTTTGCGAGTCTCCCTCGAGTTAATGAGTATAGTCTCACGTCGAACCTATACAACATCTCAGGTCACTGCGCGTTAATGAGTATCGTCACCTCGAACAAAAAGTTCTTTATGAACGTAAAACAACAATAGGTGACTGTGAGGTTCTTCTTGTGTCTTGCTAAGCTGGCACTGATGGGACCTCATTTGCAATGTGTTAGATTTAATAAGATATCTACTATTATCGATCCCAGCAAATTGATCACCCATTCACAGCGTGCCACGTGTAACTCCGACATATATCTATCCATTTGTATCGTAAAAAAATCACAAGTGTCTTTCACTGCAACTAAAGAATCTAAAACCAAATGCTGTGGCGTAGAGACTGACACATAGGACAACAACACGACATATCCAAAATCTCACTAGCCAATCAGTAAACAGATACAGATATTCCACAGATAACAAACCTTACTCTTACGATTACTATAAAACCTATCCATACCCCAACCATTACAATCACTCTCACCAGTCACCAAAAAAAAAAAACATAAAACAAAAAAAGCAGAAGAAGAAAATTTCTAATGGCTTCCTCAACCATGGCTCTGTCCTCCCCTGCCTTCGCCGGAAAGGCCGTGAAGCTCTCACCAGGAGCCTCCGAAGTCTTCGGAACCGGGCGTGTCACCATGCGCAAAACCGTTAAACCCACCGGTCCATCAGGCAGCCCATGGTACGGATCCGACAGGGTTAAGTACTTGGGTCCATTCTCCGGAGAGCCACCGAGCTACCTTACCGGAGAGTTCCCCGGTGACTACGGATGGGACACAGCCGGTCTATCAGCTGACCCCGAGACTTTTGCCAGGAACCGTGAGCTAGAAGTTATCCACTGCAGATGGGCCATGCTTGGAGCCCTAGGCTGCGTTTTCCCTGAGCTTTTGGCTCGTAACGGAGTCAAGTTTGGAGAAGCTGTTTGGTTCAAGGCCGGTTCACAGATCTTCAGTGAAGGTGGACTTGACTACTTGGGAAACCCGAGCTTGGTCCATGCTCAGAGCATCTTAGCTATTTGGGCTACTCAGGTGATCCTTATGGGAGCTGTTGAGGGTTACAGAGTTGCTGGAGAAGGACCGTTGGGAGAGGCAGAGGACTTGCTTTACCCAGGAGGCAGCTTCGACCCATTGGGCCTCGCTACTGACCCAGAAGCTTTCGCTGAGTTGAAGGTGAAGGAGATCAAGAACGGTAGGTTGGCTATGTTCTCTATGTTTGGATTCTTTGTTCAGGCTATTGTCACTGGTAAGGGACCGTTGGAGAATCTTGCTGACCATTTGGCTGATCCAGTCAACAACAACGCATGGGCTTTTGCCACCAACTTCGTCCCCGGAAAGTGAATGAGTTAAAAGCTTTATTGTAATGCGAGTGAGAGCAGAGGAAGAGAGTTTGTTTGTGATCTTTCTTATGTAAATTTGTGCAATTTCCTTTGTCGTATCTTTGTATGATTTATCAGAAATCGAACCTCTTTTTCTCAACTGTGCTGGTGTTTTAACTGAAGACTCAAACTGAACTGAATGATCAATTTTCATAAGAAAAAGAAAACTCACGCAACTGCAGATGGTATATATGTTATGTATCCTGACAATATTGCAATACAACCGAACAAGAAGGCAAAACTTATAACAAAATTACAACAAAAAGGAAAGAAAACGAAGAAAGGTAGTGCTAAGATGATGTTGTCTGAATGCCACAAGATTGCTTCACTTCTAGCCATTTTCTGAAACTTCTCTGGTTCTAGTAGGCGCTTCATTTGGCAGCTTCAAAAAATTACCGATGTTTGAAAACAAATCTTTATTGCCGATAAAAGACGTGTGATGTAACTATTTAGCAAATTTGACATAGAAACCTCTGGGAGATTCATGTTTTCCACATGTTTATATATGTCCCTCCTGTAAATGAAAAAGGGTTGTGGTGTGTTAATTAAGAGTTGTATCTGCCTAAGCGAGCATTCAAATATCAACTTACATGGTTAGTGTGGGATCTGGAGAAGAATGAGAGCAGTTAAATATAAACAGAATGAAATGGCAGCTCCAGCGAGGACATTGTGGAGCAACCTCTTGTCATCCTTTGTGGGTATGAACACAGACTTTAACGTATTGGTAAGCTCAAAAAGCCGGTGAGACACCTGAAAACAAGAGATCACATTACGATTTATATAATGTAGAGTTGATTATGGACTCATTAGATTCTACTTACCAAGACATAGATGGCCGTTGTGAGCATGAAATTGAGCATTGGGTATTCTGGAATTATGCATAATAGCCACTTAGGCTGTCCATTAGGCACATTCGATCTGCAGCACATGCAATTTTTATTAAATTCATTCGTAAACTGAGACAAATTGTTTCTTGCCTACTTATTCGGGAGGAAAGAAACCGTTTCTTGCTTACCTTAACCAGATGTGGAACTGAGATATATAGGTCTCCAAGGTAATCTTGCCGAGCCACCTAGGAAGATCATGACAGTTGTGTCTTATTAGAGATGTGTTCAGAATCAACATCAAGCTTGTTTGACATGTACTAAAATTGAGTAACATACGCAAATAGTGTAAGGGAGAAATTTCGCAGCTGTTGTGTGGAATTTCGCAGACAGATGTAGACACTGGAAAACATTATCAAAGCTAAAGTCAGAAAAAGCCAGAAAGGAAGACTGTCTCTAGAATTGACGTTTTGTGACAGAAAAGAGTTTCGACACTAACGTTATTGGAATCCATGATGTGTAAGGATGATATTTGTTGTATGTAACCTTGTCAAGCTTGTAGATGTATTCGTACCACAGGTAACCAACCTGAACAATATAAGGAACAGCACTCCGCCATCAGAATAATATCAAATACATAAGATCCATAAGCAAGAGAGGAGCGAAACTCACGAATGAGGAAATTGCAATTATGCTTGTTTTGATTGAATTCTTTCTCTTGGCATCACACTCTTCCAGTTTCTCCATCCATCTCTCTACCTGAGATCAAAATATGGAAAATATGTTAATGGTGGGTGTTCTGAGAAGATGTGAAAACAGTGAGGTTTCAAGAGTTACCGTGGGATGGAAATAGGCATATATCATTCCAATGATCCATATGTAGCGGTCAAGTCCTGATCTGAAGTGCCATTCATGTAGAAGTGGTAAATCTGGTTTAGCGGGATCAGTGTATCCTGCAGTGTTTATGGGCAGAAGCCATATGTTGGTCAACATAAATAAACACAGATCCTAATGACAAAGTGGCATCCAAAATTGCCGAGTAAAGCGTTCTAGCACGAGATAGATATATAATCAACCATGTCGACATAACTATAAAGGTACGAGGAAAGTCTGATACTGACCCAGTAAGAATGTTAGAGGACTCCAGAAAATCTCAAAAACTCCAGGAATCTCCCACATCACGATGACAACAAGAAAGCATGAAGCAATCTTCAGAGCCATTACTGATGGTATCTCGTTATACCGACTGAAAATACCAAGGGCTCCATACACCATTAGAGTGAAAAGAGTGTGCATCGGACAGATGTAGTATAACATGTAATCATTATTGAGAATAATGCAGCTAAAAGCCACAAATAAGTTAAGACGCCACATCATCTGGAAAAAGTAAAATATATCATGCATCTTGAGTCACTGACAGAAACATATGCCTGACAGAAATATATCATGGTAAACTAATCAAATATAGAAATTGAAACTGTAGATATGACCTGAGTGAATCGTGCTAGGGAAAAATCCTTCCTGATATAGTAATAAGAGAAGTTCCCAAAACCAGTCATCCAAACGTAGGCAGCGATGAAGACCCTGATTGCATTATATATCTCAGCAGCAGCAAAGTAATGATACATCAGAAACAAAACCTGCAAAGATACAAAGTGAATTAGAATGAAACAAAAGCTGCGAAACAAGATATTCATCTAACGGTAAAATCAAGAAGCTCAGATGTATGCTGGGAAGTAGATGCACATAACAAATGCAAAGGTAACGGATAGCTACAAAGAAAAGAGTGAATCAGTTACCTGCATCCATCCCTTCCACTCTTCAGTCTGGTGACGATTAAGATAGAGAATGGATTTCCCTGTTATCGGTGATTTATCATTGTGTTTCTTCAAGGACGTCATGGCTGCCACTATGATGAGCAGACAGTAGAGAAAGAGGAAAAGGTCTCGGTCATAATTCTGTATATGCAAACCCCAGATGTTAGCTTTCTACCTCCGAACGATTTAAGGATATAATGTACACTATATCACACATCTTCAGCACATAAAAGGTATTCGGATATTTGATGACCGGTTAAAAAGAGAAATTCGTCAAAGAAACTTAGAGGAGGCACCTTTTTAGACTCTCCAAGCAAGTTTGTTCGATCGCAAATATAAAAGTAAAAAAGAATTCCCCCGAACTCAGCCCTGCGAGGAAATAATACAGTCATAAGAGAGAATGATGAGCATGAATCCAAATCAGATAATCAAGGAACTTACATGGCTCTCAAGGTTGCTCGATTATCAATCAAGAAAGAGTCATCCAGCGTCAGAAACCTACAAGCAGACAAATGTAAATTGTTTCAACAACACTCCACTCAAGAAACAAATAAACAAGAGAAGAAGAAGAAACCGGTATATAAAATTACCTAATCAAGTTAGTTTTGACAGGCGAATTATAGAACCTGGTAGAGACAGATCTTGGAAGAGCACCACCAGCTTCGAGTAAAACAGCTACTTCCTCTTCCTTGGTTTTCACCTCACTCAGTTCAACCAAATTATTATCTGAATGACTGCAAATTACAGAAAAGCAAATAGTGTCAGGTTAGATACACACCTAGCTAACAGAGCGCGTATAAATTAAGTAACATCCATCTCAAAAATACACGTACACTTTAAAATGCAATGAAGATCTCTTATACTCCAGAAACTCAGCGTATATCCATGCTATGAATACAGGAATGACTCCGAGCAGAAACGAAACCTGCATATACAGTATAGAGAAACAATACACTAATTACTTTTTTTTTTGTCATCCAAAACCAAATCTCTGGTAGGTGTTCATTATTTTCAAGATTCAAGATTAGATTGACGCTAAAATCTTTCGAAACTAAAAGAAGAAAGAAAATAGAATGGAGGAATGACATCAGATTTCAAAATCAATCTCTCTCGAGCAAACTGATCCAAATTATAAATTTCAAATCATTCCAACACCTTAACAATATAGTAGAAGTCACATTGCAGTTCTATTGACTGATTCAAAAATCTATGAATCCAAAGTAATGAAAGTAAGAAGAGAGTGAAGCTTAAGACGCTCAGAGTTACGCGATATATGTACCTGACCAGGCGTGATTGGCTCTGAATCCGCCATGTTACCGGATCAACCAAGGGATATTCAGAGATGGATTTAAACAGAATCCACTCCACTGCCGGATCTAAGGTATCGAATTCGAGATAGATTCAGGATCCGAAACCCTAGGGAATATAGTAGAGCATGCAGGGAGAGACGCACAGGAGGAGCGAACAGAGGAAGTAAAAGAAGAAGGAAGAGAGAGAGATCTGGAAGTGAAAGAAGCTATTGCTTCAAGTTTGGAGAAAATGGCGGATACGACGTCGTTCTCCTCAGCGGTTGTGGTTGATTTCGCGATTGCTTCCTTCCTTCCCCTCCTTCATTCAAAGCCTTTAATATTTTTTTATTGGTCAGCCTACCAATTTTTGGATTCCTATTTAAAGAAATCCTCATTTGTTACATATTATTCATACAATATCTAGGACAAAGTACTAAAATCTACAGTATTTCGTTTCTAGATGAGATTAACAACTTCCATATTTTTACTTACTTTTGAACAAAGTACAAATCATATAATGACGCAACTGTTTTTTTTTAGAAATTATCAGAAACTACAGTTTTTGAAAACGTAATCAATTCAACATACCAATCATCATTTTTGTTTGGTTATGCGATTTGTTATTCACCTATTAGCCTTATATGTTTAGATTGTTATAAAACTTGTATATATCCAAACAAATGCTTGTAAACAAAGTCATAAGTTAATACTTATGACATCCAACCACCCATTCATCCCCACATTACACACACGCAATCACATGAAAGCATATTGTATCATGTTTCTCTTCAGTCTTCATCAACCTATAACTCTTTTGCACCACTTTGAAAAAGTCATAGAGAAGACGCGTTAATAACTCACATCTTTTTACCACATTTACATCTTCAGAAAATTGCAGCTGGAGACTTGATCATAATCATACATACTTTTCACCCTTCATCTCCTCTACCAACAAACCTGAATCTTCCTCACCACACTGTAAACAATCGCTTCATGCATTAAACTCCATTAACTCACCTTCCATCTCAATCCAGCTACATCCAGGTTTCTAAACCACGCCTCTCTCTCTCTCTCATCAACGCCCTCGTCTTCGCACATTCATCCCACATCTTCATCTCACCATAAACCTTGGAAGATATAACATAGTTCCCTGCGTTCTTAACCTCTTCCATCTCCATCAACATCTTCATCACTTTCCCTCCAACCACCACATCTCTTCTCTTCAGACACGCTCCAAGAATTGCTCCCAACATGATCTCGTCTGGCTTCCCTGGAAACTTCTCCATCAACTCCCACGCCTCTTCTAACATCCCCGCACGAGATAAAAGGTCAATTACGTTTGTGTAATGCTCTATTTTCGGAACCAACCCGAATCTGAAACTCATCTCATGGAAGTATCGACGGCCCTCATCGACTAAACCCGCGTGCACACAAGCAGAGAGAACTCCTACGAATGTAACATCACTTGGAGAAACTGACATTTGATTAAACAGCGAGAGTGCTTCTTGAGCTTGTCCGTGATGTGCATAAGCAGATATCACAGCGTTCCAAGTAGCTTCGTTTTTCACCGGCATGGTTTCAAATACTCTGAGAGCTTCCTCTATGCTTCCACACTTTCCGTACATATCAACTAGTCCTGTCGCCACGTAGATATTATGTTGCAACCCTGTTTCCAAAGCGTATGTCTCAATCCGTTTGCCTAACTCAAGAGCTCCAACTGAACCACAAGCAGACAGTACCGTCCCAAGAGATCATCCAGAGTGATCTTCAATGGGTCAGACGGTTTCACTATGTCCCAGATCTCGTCCCTAACGTCCTCTATGCACAGCTCATAGTTCCCACCTTCAATCCATTTCTGGTGAACATCTCTGCAAGTTCAAACAGATGGAGATTCAGACAGCAATTCAGAAAGAGAGACGATAGAATTACCACACATCAAAAGGTGGTTGTCTTTGCAGATATGAGACTGGCGGAACAAAACTTAGCTACCGCAAGCAGGAAGTGTAGAGTTTTTATATAGGAAGATTGCATCAGATAACATCATAACTCTTTGATGCTTCCTATTCGATGTGATACAGTCAATAAAGTTGTTGTTCAGATATATCTCTCTTGGATAGCTACAGTTTGAGAGAGGGTGGAGATTTTCCTAAATTCTCTAGACCTAAATCGCCACCCGATACCTACCTGGGCTTTAACGAAATTAGACAACTATAGATTGAAATCCAACGATAGAGTGAAGAAGAAGACATTGATTATTGTTGATTGAGGTAGGAGACGAACGGTTCTGGTTTTCAATTTCTCTGACACAATAACTAAACCGGATTATCATAACCATAATCATGTACTTTAAACCAGCGGTATAGAGAACGGTTAAGATTTCAAGTGGTTTTATGCTCACTCTCCCGGTTTTTCAATATATGTCGAAATGCCAAAGTAGAATATTCATGCAAGGTGGGGCTGTGTCCTTGACGCGCTCAAGTGAGAGTGGGGGACAGTAGAATGTAATTTTGAAGCTCTAAATTTATTTATTTTTGAAAAAATCTTTCATATATGTGATTAACACATAAAACTCTAATAGTTAGAAATTATTTTTCTCAGTTTTGATAACTTTCAAATTTTTATGTTTCAAGCTCTAGGAGCAATGTTACTAGACATCAAATAAATAGAGTTAGAGTAGTTTCAACTTAAACGATGTAGTTTTAAACAAGTAGGGTGTTTGGTGGTCACAAACTTGTTACTTGGCTGAAGAGACCACTCCCACCAAATCCAGGTATCATCAACTCATCAAAGCCATCTTTAGAACTGTTCTGGTTCGGGCTCTTCTCTTTTGTACCAATTCCGGTTAAACCACCCAGTAAACCATCATCTGCGTTGACCGATGAAGATATTGACTTAGTGAACAAGTAACCCAACACAGCTAAGACACGTCTTAGTCTTACCAGAGTCATTGGTAGATAACTTAAGTAGATAACACCTTCCGTGCATCCACCACACCCCCACATTTCGCATACATACTGATCAAAGAATGATTCACATGCTCGTCTCTCTCCAACCCGAATTTAAACAGCGACGAGTGAACAGATCTACCGATCCTAATCTCCGTGAGATTCCCACACGCGACGAAGACGAAATTGTAAGTGAAATTATCGGGTTTTAGCCCGGAAAGCTTCGTCTGACGGTAGAGAGACAGAGCGGATTTGTGATCGCGCCACGTGTTGGTAAGGCCTCGGATCATGAAGTTGAAGGAGTAGTGGTTTGGTTGTTCCGTTGTGGAGAAGAGGGAAGATGCGTAAGGGAAGTCTCCGAGCTCGACGGCTTTGGGGATCAGGAAGTTTGGTTTTTGGATGGAGTTTGTTAGCATTTGGGATTAGATCTCTCGGATTTGGTTCACGGAGACGCATTTTTTGAGGAGGAAGAGGAAGTCTCTCGCGAGATCGGGGGGTCTTGGTTTGTTGAGTTGTGTGGGTTTGAGTGATGGGAATTGGCGGGAAATGGAGGATGCTAGTTTCTTTGGTTTGAGCATTTGCAAAGCTCACATGAGGTAAATGTGATTAATAAAAGTTTAAAATGGTACTTTGGTGGGCCGGATCCGGGTCCAGGTTTATCGCCGGGTACGGATCAATTCGGTTCGGGAAGCTTAGTTTTCGGTTAATTCAGTTAACCAAAATCATAAACCAATCAATCCGAAAAATTGATTTGGTATTTGGTTAGTTCGGTTTCTAAGAATTCTACGGTGTTTTGGTTTAATCGCTTTGACATTTTGGTTAGTTGAGTTAACTTGTTACTATATTTATTTTTCTTGAAACTGAATCTGAGTTAACTGTTTATTGAACCGAACCAAAACGTCTTTTTAAAGTGTTGAACTGAAGAACTCAAAACCAAACCTGAACCTAAAGTTTGGCTGCTTGGATAAAATCCCAACTCTAATTGGGCTCATGTAGTCGGGTATCATTGCGACTTAAGAAAATGATTGTAGAACATATCATAAAAGTCTATACGGACAATTACAAACATTGATTAGCAGGCATATGATATTACAACTTTGATCAACATGGAACCACATGTAAAAAAACTGACGTTACATTTTAAGTGTACACCACCGAGACCATTACAGCAACGTCCCATTTTATCTACTTCCCGCCTGAACCATCCAGATTTGAAATAATGTTAATGGAATGTATTCCATCACTTAGTTTTGTCCTCTGACCCGTTCTTGGTATGATCAGACATCTAAAGAAAACAAAGGCGAAAACCAGTTCCATAACAAACAAACTCATGCTTATCCACACAAACAAAGTCCTCCTCCAGTTCCATACAATCCTTCTCAAGAACGGAAGTTCAGATTCAAGCAACAGAGACGCTTCATAAATCTCTGGAATACCGGCCCCACCACGAAACTCCGCACGCTGTTCAATCATAACCTTCATGCAAGCAGTACCAACAATGTCCTTTTCAGCAAAGCCTTTGAGCTTCAACTTCAAGGTTTGTGTTTCAGACACATAGCCAGAGACAAGAGGAGCTATCTTTAAGAAAGTCTGAACAAGACGGATAGGCTCGGTTCTAAACCTCAACATACAAGGCCGTCTCGAAGTGGCAAGCACTTGACCGTTCTCTGATAAGAAATCCACACGAACCTGAAACATCCCGAGGTTTCTGTTGTACTCAGACTCAGGTAACGTCATTGAGACACTGATCTCTGTCCTGTGATTCGGAGTGTTAACTCGGGTAACAGCCACATATGCTTCTGGACTATTCTTGGTGTAATCAAAGCTCAAACTCTCTTTAACCACAAGCGGTTCATGAGTCAAAAGAGTTATCACAAAGCCACTAATCATAAACGCAGAGACCAACATGGCAAACAAAACGATTCCTAGATAAAAAGCCCGTAACAGACCCCATGCTAACTTACGCACAGCTTCCAACACGAGCTTATCATGCACAACCTTCGATAGCAAGTAGCGTCTGCCACGTCTCATTGTACGGTACGGATCCAAAACGAAGCTCAAGCAGATGTGAAGCAACCAAGGTGGGAACTTTATGAAGCTAAGCATCAAACTTACTTGAAACTCGATGGACTTGATCACTAACGTAGCTAAAGAGCCAATGAGAGACCAGTCCGCTGAAGTAGCTTCCCGGAGCTGTGACGCCGGTGAGGAAAAGTCGTTGCCTTGGTGATGATCAGTCAGAGTGGTCTCTGTCAATGTTTCAGATTTTTCGCTGTTCATGGTTTCCTCGCAGCTACTAGTGTTTGAATATGATTCTGATTCCATTGATCAAAGAATAAAAACTTTGATGAAGAAAAACTCTTAATATAGCTTAAAGAGGAGATAAACAGAGTATTGCTTAAAGAGGAAACAACACAGTTTCCGAGAAACAGCTTGTTACCGTCGTGATTATGTCGGCTTGTCCGACGGTGTTGTGTAAAGTAGAGATTGAACAATAAACTTTTAACTTGTATTGCTTGAAGGTATTACATCAGCTTATATACATGAATAACCACCGACTATAAACTCCTACTTCTACTCGTATTTATCTCTAAGATATAAGTAAACGTTAACATAATAGGACTTATCAATAGGTAATCCTTATCACAATAGGATTCCCTAATACTCCCCCTCAAGTTGGAGAGTGAAAGTCTTGAACACCCAACTTGGAAGAGAGAAACTCAAACTGTGAACGCCCCAGAGCTTTAGTGAGTATGTCAGCTATTTGGTCTTTAGTACGAACATGTGTAGTAGAGATCAGACGAGCTTTAACTGCATCACGAACACAATGACAATCTCTCTCAATATGCTTTGTGCGTTCGTGAAAAACTGGATTGGCTGCAATATGAATTGCTGCCTTACTATCACAGTAGAAAGGTACCGGTTTGGCAATAGGAATGCCAAGTTCTTTCATTAAAGGAACTATCCATTTTAGCTCCTTAGTTGCTGCAGCCATTGCGCGGTATTCTGCTTCAGCGGAAGAATGTGAAACTGTTTTCTGCTTCTTTGTTTTCCAAGATATCGGATTCCCTCCAAGTAGCACAACATAAGAGCTTAAAGACCGACGAGTAAGAGGACAAGCACTCCAGTCTGCATCTACATAGACTGAAAGCTGAAGAGAACAATCTGAGCTCAACAAAATACCCTGTCCTGGACACCCTTTCAGAAATCTAACCACACGGATAGCAGCTTCCCAATGAACAACGCGTGGGGACTTCATGAACTGAGATAGCAAGTGGATCGCATAACACAGTTCTGGACGCGTAATAGATAAGTACACAAGACGTCCTACTAGGCGTCTGTACTTCTTTGGGTCTGCAAACAAAGGTCCAGTATCAGTGGCTAAATGATGATTCTGTTCAACTGGGATATATACCGGTTTAGCACCAAGTAAGCCACAGTCCGCAACGATATCTAATGTATATTTTCGTTGGGAAAGAAAAATCCCTTGATCAGCTCTTGCAACTTCAATACCCAAGAAATATTTTAATTTTCCTAGATCTTTCATGCGGAAGCATTCACCAAGGTAGGTCTTGAACTTAGTGAGTAATGCAAGATCATTACTTGCAATGACCAAATCATCGACATAAACCAGAACACGAACTTCTTTGGCTCCTTTGGTGTATGTAAATAATGAATAATCTGAATGAGCTTGCACAAAACCAAACTTGAGTAGTGCATTAACCTTCTTGAGACCTAAATATTTTTTTCTATTACCACATCAAGTTCGATGGCTGGTGGAGAAGAGTCTTCTGCAAGTAAGAGCAGTGATCTAGTTGATCAAAGTAATGTAACCACCGTGAGTGCAACTCCATACTCGTTGTATGCCTCAGACAATCCCGGTGCGTTAATCACTTCGGTCGTGTTTACCGGAGAGAATTATAATGAGTGGTCTACGGAGTTAACCAACGCCTTGAGAGCTAAAAGAAAATTAGGGTTTATCGATGGAACAATACCTAAACCCTCCATTGATGATCCGAAATTTGAGCTCTGGTCTTCGGTTAATTCCATGATTGTAGGCTGGATCCGTTCTTCTATAGAAGCAAAGGTTCGGTCAACAGTCACGTTTATGTCTGATTCCCATAAACTTTGGGAAAATTTGAAGAAGCGTTTCTCAGTGGGAAACAAAGTTAGAGTTCATCATCTGAAAGAACAACTGGCATCTTGCAAACAAGGTGGTCAATCAGTGATGGAGTACTATGGACGTTTAGCAAAGATGTGGGAGGAGCTAGACATGTATAAGCCTCTTCCAGCTTGCAGTTGCAGTGCTTCTGCAGAATATGAGAAAGAAAGAGATGAAGAGAAAGTGCATCAGTTCGTTATGGGACTTGATGAATCTCGGTTTGGGGGAGTTTGTCAAGGAATTATATCCAGTGATTCCTTAGTTGATCTTGGAGAAGCTTATGCTAAAGTCATTAGAGAAGAACAGAGACTTGCTTCGTCCAAGGAAAGAGAAGTTCAGCAAAGTGCAGTTGGCTTCGTTGCAAAGAAAGATCAAGTTGACTTATCTGCGCGACGATCTTTACAGTGTTCTCATTGCAGTCGTAAGGGACATGATAAGGCTAATTGCTGGCAACTAGTTGGGTTTCCGGATTGGTGGGAAGAGCGCTCAAGTAAACAAGAGAACAGAGGTGTTCCAAACAACAGAGGGCGTGGTTCTTCATCTTCTGATCGAGGAAGAAACAGTGCGCCTAAAGCTCACAATGCTCACGCAACTACCTCCAATGATTCTACTTTTCCCATGTTCACAGAGGAGCAACTAAAAGCTCTTACGCAGTTATTAAATGAGAGAACCAAGTTATCTTCCGATAAGTTGTCCGGTAAGCCATATGGAGATCTCATTCTAGACACGGGGGCATCTCACCATATGACTGGAGAGCTCTCGTTTCTTACCAATGTTTCTAGTATTGCCCCGTGCCCAGTGGGATTTGCAGATGGAAACAAGACGTTTGCTACACATGTTGGCGTATTCCATCTCTCCAAGAACATAACACTGTCT